ATATATATATATATATATATATATAGAGAGAGAGAGAGAGAGAGAGAGAGAGAGATATGGCCTATATATATATATATATATATATATATATATATATATATATATATATATATATATATATATATGAGCCACTCTTCACCACTGGAATAAATATATATCCGGTAAACTACTTAGGTACTTTTCTAAAATCGTATTCATTGTATGCAGCTGGTGTGGGCTAATCATTGCAGACTATTCTAAAATCGGAACAAATTTTATTTTATTTGCTGAAAGTTACATGCCATACTAATAAATTAATTACTACTGGATTTAAATATTGTGTAAAAATAAAAATCTTCATTAAAACTATTGCTAAACAAATTAAAATCAACACTATGATTAGGAATTAACATAGGCTGTGGAATAGCCCCACACCTACTTTTGATCTAAATCTTTTCCTCTTCTATAACAACAGCAGGGCTCAAAAATGTAAATGCCGCTATCATTAAAAAAAACGGTAAAGCACATATCAATAAACAGTTGAAAATAATATAATGTTAAATATTTTTAAAAAGTGCAAGGGTAATGCTGAAGGTAGGATGCTTGAATGTTGATGCAGATAAAACACATTAAATGCTCTGATCGTAGACTAATGCTTTGCAAAGCTTAAACAGGAAGATCTGGTTGTGAACTTTTGAACATAGAAAACTATTTAGTTTTAATTAAATTAATCCACTGTTTAAAAAAAAGGACCAAAAAAAAGGTGTAGAATTACCACAGGTGTGGAAGTATTATAATTGTTCAAACGGTTTTTATAAAATGTGCCCATTGTTTTTATATGTATGTTGTTTGATTTCAAAGCATTTATATTCCTCTTCCCCGTAAAACGCACCAATTAAAATAAACAATTTAACAGAACGTATCTGTGCCCCTGGATATTTTGGACTAGACTGTGACCAACAATGCCGCTGTAGCGACACATCTGAGACTTGCATGTCTATCACTGGTGGATGTTTATCTGGGTGTTTGTCTGGGTACTATGGCCAGGGTTGTCAGATGGGTGTGTATTCTAGTAGTATAAGCATATATATGTATATATATATATATATATATATATATATATATATATATATAAATTGTTTTTGTATATATAACTAAGTATTCGACTTGATAATAATGAGATGTTGTGATCGTCGTTTAATTAAGCTTTGATTTCGTTCATCTGTAGAATGTCCAGCCACAAAGTGGGGCGTCGATTGTCTCAAGACTTGTAGTTCATTCTGTCGTTACCCTGAAGTTTGTAGTTCGACAAATGGTTCTTGTGATGACGGTTGTCAGGCTGGATACGCGGGTCCTACATGCATCGATGGTAATGTAGACATTTAAAATATAATTATATAACCCTAGCTAAGCACCCGCGGTAAGCTGTGCGTGTGGCTGTTGCATGTCCGTTGTGTTAAAGAAACATTGATGTGGGTAATAAATTTTTTTCTCAAATGTTGTTATTTGCATGGACATTTATTGGAAACTAGCCGTAAAGTTTAGGCCCTCACTTGCCTCTTTGAAAACAACCTATATAGAAAGGACAATGGCTTGTGTTTATTAAGCAGTATATACCTGTTATTGCCCAGGTTTAGGGAATATATTAATTTTCGAATTAAATATACCAATCACAACCAAAACGAAAACATAAACACATTGGAAACGCAAAATTAACGCGCAGTGTCAACACAAATATCAACTCAAACACAAACAAAAACGATTAGTCGCCCCCCCCCCCCCCTCCTCCCGACCAATGATGAGTATCTGCTGTTGGTGAACGTGCAGGTAGCTCAGCATAAATTTACTACATAAACAATTTGCGTCAAGTGAACCATCGGGATTTAAATTTTTTTTTAAATAAATTTAAAAGCCGAACAAAGCGGAAATTTTACCTGGAGTCAGCTGATATAGAATCTGGAATTATATGCCTATATATTTAAAATGTTGTACTTGTTTCAGAAAAAAAAATATATAAAATAGTTATTGGTCAAAACGCAATGTGCTTTACTACACGCTGAACTATTTTAGTAACAAAGCAAAGAAATAACACATGTAACATAACACAGGCACACACTGATTAAGTGACTTAAATGATTCCGTTAAAAACTCGGCTATTCAATTGTATTCTTCGTGTTTTAAAGTGATTTATTGTTATTAGGTTTTTATGTATAGATCTATAGATTTAAATAAAATAGTTCATTTCTTCATCGGTAACCATACCATATTAAATGCACTCGCTGATTAAGAAACTTAAAATTAAGAGACTTAAAACATTTCGTTAAAACCCGGCTGTTCAAAGGCAGTTATGTTGTTTTTGTATTTTAAAATAAAAATTTATTACGGGAATAGATTCTAGAGTAGATTATAGTCTAAATCTAGATCTTAGCGTCTACGTCTAGTTTTTCCGTAGATCTAGTCTAGATCTAGAATCTCTAGATCTAGAATCCAAATAGAAAAAAATAATTTTATAAGTTTAGGCCGAGAAAATTGTATTATATACATTCATAGCGTTCGTAGATCTAAATCAAATTTGAATGAAATAGTTCATTTTTTTTATATTTTAAAATCGGAAGATGACGCCATGAGTTTTGTGTAAACATTTGGCAAGTGACGTCATTGTTGTATGCGTTCTTTTTCACAACTAAAAACACTTTTTCTGTTGCATAATTAAAACTGTTTTTCTACATTGGAATATGCCTTTATTTTTTTTTCCTTCTTTAAATAAAATTGTGGTTATACATTTAAACATCTACCATATTATGTTCAACAAAAATCCGTATCAAGTTCTCCATATATCGCTGAAGATTCTGATGTGATATCCGACAAAAATATTTAGCGGACAGAGAGAGAGAGAGAAGTGCGCACATGGGCTTTTATATATTAGGATTTTTACACCAACATTTTCAACGGGTTCGAAAGTTAAATCTGTAGCCGAAAAAGAATTATTTTCAACACGCCAAGGAGACTGAAGTTTTACAGCACAACGTGCATCAGAACGTACTTGAACAGTTTCATTGTCACTGTCAATTTCAATGTCACTGTGTTCAGTCTCAAATTCAACGTCATTATCATGACAATATAGACCAGGAATATTATATTCAGTCATTCTACTTCTTTTGTTGATATTTTGTTAATATTTCAGTATTTTGCTTCATCTTTTCCACCAACTTATGTGCTGAAGTCGATGGCTGTGGCTCAGCTTTTCGTTTCGATGGCATTGCGACGAAATGTAAACACTTTCACTTTCACTTTTCCTAAAATCTATTTTTAGACTCATAATCCCGCACTAAAAAGAAATGCGCATTTTTAGTAAGATTTCCGCTAATTATATTTAATCAGACGGTATACCGACCGCTAGGAATATTACGCTAGATCATCGGGCCAGAAAACCGGCTTTCCGGACATATATGCCTAATGTTGAAACCGGTTTACATGCCTGGAGGGCTTAAAGGGGTAAGGGTCAATTTAAAGAGATATCATACTAAGCTTAGAGTCGGATTTGGTAAGTTTTATTAAATTTCGAAAACATTAAAACATTAAAAATAATTTTGGTTTTAATCATATTGCCCTTTTAAGTTGTTTAGGTTAAACAATGGAATGCAACTAATGCAATTATACTGGTTGGTGGAGTTATTTGATTTAATGTGCATGATAGCTTATGGTAGTCTAGAGTTTCCTTTATATTTATTGATAAACTTGGTCAAACAATAAGTTAGTAACTTATTTAAAATTAATAAAATTCGTCAAACTAATTAATGATTTGCTATTAAATTAATATCCGCTGACTAGTGTCTAATAAAATTTGAGAAGTGGTGAATGTACAGCTAGGAAGCTCGCTACTTGTAATGCTAAGAGTGGGGAGGGGGGGGATGAGTCAGAGAAAGGAACTTAAAAGGGACAACAAAACGCCGATGAGCTCCTATCCATCAGTACGGAAGTTGGGATGGTCTCAACTGCTTTTCTTTAAGCCTTATTGTAAAACATTCAATGGAGAAATTTAAAATTATACACGTTTACTTTCTTATTGTTATCATATTCTTTGTGATTATTCGTAGAATACAAGATAGTACAGAATAGTAGTTTACCAATACATAAAACTTACATTTTACATTGTAAAATCACAATTGATTAAGAGCCATTTCCCAATGCTATAAAAAGCAAAAGTCGTCTTAATATCTAGCGTCATATCGAGAAATGGTTTTTATTTCCAAAATAATTTTGCCGACAACAGTGTGTGCTTGATTATAGGAGAAAGAGAACTCGGCTTTCACAGTTGTTTAAAAACAAAGGGAAAAAGTATATACAAGAGCGTGGTGTGGTGTCTATATAATAAAGATAATCCAACCGCAACGAAAGTAATCGTTTTACAAAACAACCATCAAGATAACATGCAAGAACATTAATTTTTTAACTGTAATTTTTTTTAAAATGATCGGATGTGGGCCCCAAATCCAATCGCCAAGAAACTTCATGTCATTGTTGAGAATACATCTTGTGATGTTTCCGCAATAAATGTTTTTTTTTCAAATTCGCAGTCGTGGCGCCCCGGCAATACGCGATTCGATTCTTTTCGATATATCGTAAAAAAAAAATAAAAGTCGTTTGCTATCTGATACAGTTCATCGGATCGTCATCAATTTTTTGGAAGTTGATGAGCACACTCCAGGGAATGTTTCTGCTAAAAAAAAAGTTTCATTTCGCAAGGGCGGCGCCCCGAGAGGCTGCGATTTTTCTCTTTATACTGTATATTAAAAAAAAGTCGAATGTTGTTCGACACCGTTCATCCGAGTGCCATGAAACTTTGGGAGTTGGCGATAATACTCCCGAGAAAGTTTCTTCAATAAAAAAAATTTCTTATGTGTAGCGACCGGGAAGGTTCGATTTTTGTCACTGTTTGGCGCCGAGAGCTACAGAGCGGCTATCATAGCACTTGGCATCTGTTAATTGGACGTCCAGCATAACGGGAAAGATGTACTAATATATTCAGCGGTAAAACCCTCTTAACATATTACGTCATACTTTCTTCTGAGATCGCGGCATCGCGCGGACGGACACGCTAGTAGTCCTATATATATATATATATATATATATATATATATATATATATATATATATATATATATGAGTTACAAGATTTACCAGACGTCCACAAACACACAATTCGAATATATGAACTAACTAAAAAGTTGTAAAAATGCTTGTATAACGATACCCGAACGATTAAGATTAGCAGCATTCATCGGCCATTGCAATTTTGTTTATTTATGTGTGATCTATCATACTCAATCTCAGAAAATAATGAAGTGACGGTTATTCAAATTATATTTAACTAAACTAAAATGTTGTCAGTTAACATGTTATCAGGTTTTAGTCGTTTACATAGAAACTAAATATTATTGAAGCTGCTATGATTGAATGTATTATACACAGAATGCAAAGACACCCTTTACGGCCTGTACTGTACACAAAAATGCAGCATCAACTGTAAAAACCAACTGTGTAACAAAATTAATGGCACATGTAACAATTGTGTTCCGGGGAAACAAGGGAGTTTTTGTGACCAAGGTTATTTGTTTTTAAATTACATAACCAACACTATACATGATTTTTTTATTTGATTTTGAAAATTATGCTAGTTTACTGCGCAACAGCAATACATAGGCATAACGGCTAACATAAGGTACAATTCCTTTATTTTAAATTCATACTGTTTAACTTATTGTTTTAATCATACATAATTAACCAATACATACATACTCCTTTTGATTTTTTTGTTTAAAAAGATGAATTACTGTTAATATATCAAGCTATTTTATAAGTGTGATAAAATTTTAATTAATAGAGTTGCTAATATTTGTAAATTTCTGATAGGACATTTGAAAAAAAAAACTATAAATCAAAATCTACCAAATAAACACAGATTGTGACCCCACATCATTTGGCCAGAACTGCTCCCAAAAATGCAGCACAAACTGTACAAACCAGAAGTGTAACAACGTTAATGGTGTCTGCAGCAGCTGTGTTCCAGGGAAACAGGGGGACTTGTGTGATCAAGGTGAGTAGCATCTATAGTATACTACCGTGCCCATCCCACGTGTTGCCGTGGTTTCAGAAAAATGTCGTACACAGTATTTTAAGAGGACTTCAGCAATAGGTTACGAATTCTATATTCTTAGACGTGAAGGCATTGAATGTATGTTAATCTATCCGTAATAGTGACCCATGTGTCAGGGGCGTCACGGGGCAGTATGTGGAGTCACCGGTTACACGACCTGAGGGTGCCCTGTACAGCCCCTGGATCGGTTTAATCATTGAATGGCGTTAAATCTTTTATAGAGCAAGTAAAAATGTTCACTAGCAAAACTCATGTTTAAAATCTCTTTTTATTCTGACTCTCTTGACATCCATGTAAGCATAACAGTAAAGGCAATTTAAACATAGTTTGTAATGTACACTTTTAAAAATTTTACCTTGCACGTCTGCAGAAAAGCCTGAGACGAACAATAAAATTTAACATGTTTTTTGACATTTTAATTTCACTTTTTATTCCGATTCATTTGTTTTGTTTTAAGGATCTTCATTATTAAAAACATGAGATGCGGTTTATACAAATTGTATAATGCATAGAAATAAATATGATTAAACTGTTTGACACGTTTATTCTTTAATTTGATAAACAGTTTTAAAATCATATTTGTATATATATTACAAAACCACGTAACATTAGATAACTTTAAATTTGAGATCATGAAAACACAAAGAAAGTAACATCATAGAGATATCAATATATATATATAATAACACACTCACTAGCTGTACAAACAAGCCGTGTGACAACATTAGTGGAAACTTCAACATCTGTATTCTTGCTTTAGCTTCAGGTTAAAATTCAATTACTGTCCAATTGTCGACTCGCAATAAAGTTAGGTCTTCTGTTAAATTTAGCTTCATGTTAAATTCCCGCTGCTGCCTAAATTTCCGTTTCTGGCTGAATATCTGGATCCGGTAAAAAAATAACGATTCAGTATAATGTTTATTTTTCAATGAAAGCTCCTTTTCCTATTGATTTTCTGTTTATTTTTAAATTCACGTATCCGGATAATTGTCGAATTTGGTTTAAAATGACGTTTTTTTATAAGATTAATTTTCTTTTCCTTTTAAATTTCTGTTTCTCCCTCAATTTCCATACCCTGCAAAATTTTCGGCTACTAATAAAAAGACATTTCCGGGTAAAGCTTCAGGTTTAATATAAATTCCTGATTACTATCAGTTCACTGGTAATTTCTGTATTTGGTTAAATTGTAGGATTCGTTAATATTGCCGGGCCTGGATAATGTTCCGTTTTCAGTGAAATTTCGTTTCCCTTTAAATTACGGTTCCTGTTAAATGTCACTTTTCTGTTAAATTGCAATTTAGATATTACTTTAATACCCGTTATCCTTGGATAACTGTGAGTCTTGGAGGTCATCAATAAATGGCATCACGTATGTCACTTATCGTCACAAAAAACAGACCTTACATTCAAAATGACGTCACAACTCAGACCTTTTTGTCTATTAAAACACATATTTTGGTAGAGCACGAGTCTGACCACACTTTCCCTTTATTTGCAGAGTTAAAAACATGTCAACTCTAGTTCACCTGCTCAGTGTCCCCCCAACTCAGACATGTTTTTGTCTTTTAAAACAACGACTTCGGCTGAGAATGGGTCTGATCACACTATCCCTTCATATGATGATGACAAAAAACAGTTGAAATCTACTTCGTCCCGATAGGCAAGTTTAACATTCACATCTAAAAAATAATTGAAAAAAAAATTAACCTTGACGTGATGTATATTGAACCCTTACCACCCAAATGGTAATTGTTACACTATCATCTCAGCTATGTAATTACATACAAAATTAGTGGGATAGTAGAGAGTCCGCGGAACTAAGAAACTCAAGTTACGCGAATAGACCCATTATTTCAAATTAAATTATATCGAACATTAACCAATACCATAGCTCAGGGGGTCTCCAAACTTTTCAGCCCGAGGACCGCATTAACTATCAAATATCAGTTCGGGGGCCAGAATTTCTTTAAGGCATCTCTTCGGGGAGGTGACGCCCCCCCCCCCCCCCCGAAGAACGTCTACGCCCCCCCCCCCCCCAAACAAAATATAATTGATATAGAAATATATACACATTTTAAGTGTCCACTCCCATCTCTCGCCCCCCCCCCCCCCCCAAGTCAAAAGTCTGTAAGAACCACTTTCGGTGGTCGAAAACATAAAACACACTCGAGGTCCAGGTTTGCTCTGTTCTCAAATTATTCTTAATGTATTTCATTTTCGAAAATGTTTATTCACACAGGTATGTTTTTCCAAAAATTAGAAGGTACTTTGATGCAGAAGCTTTAATATTAGGAAAGTCTTCCTTGTGTAAAAATATGACAAAAGGCGGAGAAAAAGGTATTTTACTTAAATGTGAAATTTCATTTATCTAAATGAAAAAGTTCTCCGTTCGGCGTCAAAATGGCCAATGACAAAACGGCCCCGTCAATACGACCCCGACAAATCGGCCCCGACATAAGAGCCCCGTCAAATCGACCTCCTCAAAAGGGCCAGCGACATGTGGACCCCATCATATAGGCTGCCGAAAAATAGGCTCCCGTCATATAGGCTCCCGATAAAAGGGCTCAATTCAATAAGGCTCCAGACATACAGGCTCCCGTCATTTAGTATTTCGACAAAACGGCCCCCGTCATTACGACTACCGACAAATAGGCTCCCGTCATTTTGGCTCACGACAAATAGGCTCCTGTCAATTTGACTCCCGACAAAAGGAACACTGACAATACGGTTTCTGTAGAGACTAAGTCTCCCGGCAAAGCGGTCTCATTGAATATTACACCTGCCATTGGGACCCCTTCATCAATATTTTTTAGAGTTAGCTTATCCAACACTCTTAAGTAATACAAATGCATCTCTTGTTCGGCTTGCCTTATTTTTATAATAGTTTATCTATTATAAGAAATGGTATGTTTTAATTTAAGGGTGATCTATCTATTCCATAAATGAGTCGATTATAGACTGTTCCAACTCAAGTGTGTGGGGAGAGGGGTCTACGTTGTACATCCCTACCTGCCAGTGGCGTTGCGAGGGGGGGGGGGGCGAGGGGGGAACATATGTCCCAGGGCGCCGACCTAAGGGAGGGGCAACATGTCGGGAGCTCATTTGTCGGAAGTCTAAATGTCGGGAGTCCATTTGTCGGTAGCCTATTTGTCGTGAGTCATTATGACGGCAGCTCATTTGACGAGAGCGAATAAGTTGGGGCACTTTTGACGGGGCTATTTTGACCGGGTCGATTTGATGGGGCCGATTTCTCCCAGGCCGTTTTGGAGGTGCACCAAGTACTCAAGTATAGTCTTTTGAAAAATTGAAAGTAGAAAAAGTTCCACTTCCGGATATCAGAAATCGCTTAAAAGTTGATACGGATGCACGATTTTGATATAATACTTATATATGAAATTTCATCAACCTAGATTTAACGGTACTCAAGTTATCGTGTTTACACACACACACTTACACACACAGACATACGGACAAGATTGCAAAACTATATTTTTCCGACTCAGGGAGGTGTAAAACGTAGAGATTTTTCTCTATACTTCGTATATACGAAAAAGTAAAAAACTCATAGTATATTTACTTAAAACCTTGCGATAAAGTTTTAAAATAATTTTATTCCTTTTTAAAACCAGATGATCCTGTTTAGTCTTTTAATAGAAACATTTGTTTAGTTACCGAAAATGCTAAAAACATCCATTTATCTAGCTATATACTACTAAAACTCTAGTTTGTTTAATATTTAGTTGTTTTTTTTTTGTCTGTTTTTTTGTTTGTTATTTTTTGTTTGTCTGGTTGACTTCTGTAGAGAATCTGAGCTATGTGGAGAGCTGTAAAATAGTATGTAGGTAGAGAACAATTTTTGTTTTCAGACAGACTGTTAATCACAATTTTTTAAAGACGTTAATTAATTTATTGATTTATTCATAGGTAGATTAACCACATTAATTTTAAAAGTTTAGAAAAACGACTTTGCATGGAGTGAATAGTGACATCACATGATTTGTTTACTTTTTAGTACAATAAAATAACGGTCAAATACAAGATTTAGTTGCCGATTCAGATGTTTAACGCGTTCTTAAACTAATTTTCTGTCGGCTATAACTTTAACAATACGTCCGTTTGCTATTTTTATTACGTTTCAACACTACTATCAAGTTTTAACACTATTTTCTATTTTATTATACAATACATATAATTTGAAATAATTCTAGATCTAAATCTAGTGCAGATTCGCGTAAATTCTTACACAGCTTAGAAGTAAAATATATAAGTTATTAACTACTCCAGAGTTCGAGCCTAGATAGTTAAGAGGTTAGCACATAAGCACATAAGGTTACCATGCGGGTGGCATGGGTTCTAGACATGGTTTTTTTTTTTTTTTTTTTTTTTTTTTTTTTTAGTTGTAAATGATAATGTTGCCTTTATCTATTGGAACTTAGAGGCATACAGGGCAGGTGAAGTAGAGTTCACCTATTTCTTTTTCCTCAGCATATAACGTGGATAGTGTCGCCAGAGCCATGCTCGGCCGGAATCTTTTTTTTTAAAAAGATAATACATGTTGTCTGAGTCTTGGCGGAACACTGGGCAGGTGAAGTAGTGTTAGGTAGCTGTAAAGTTGACCTGTGGCGACAGCATATGAAGAGATTGTGTGGTCACACCCACGCTCAGCCAAAATAAAAAACATGTCTGAGTTGAAAGGACACTGGGCAGGTGAAGTAGAGTTGACCTGACTTTGTGACCTCATCATATGAAAATATTATGTTGTCAGACTCTTGCTCAGACGAAGTCAGTGTTTCAAAAGACAAAAACGTATGAGTTGTGACGCCTTTTTGAATGTGGGGTCTGGTTAGTTTGTGATGATTAGTGACAGACGTGATGTCATTTATGGATGACCCCCGAAACCCACAGTTATCTAACTAGATAACGGGTAGTCTAGTATACTACTAAAACTCAACTTTGTTTACATCTTTGAATATTTATTTGTTTGTTTTTCCGATTGACTACTGTAGAGAATCGGCGCTATGTGTTGAGCTGTAGAATAGTAATTAGGTAGAAAACAATTTTTGTTTTCAGACAGACTGTTAATAACAATTTTTTTAAAGAAGTTAATTAATGTATTGATTTATTCATTGGTAGATTAACCACATTTATTTTAAAAGTTTAGAAAAACTACTTTACTTTGAGTGAATTGTGATGTCACATGATTTGTTTACTTATTAGTACAATCAACGGCGGCTCCAATACTAGAATCCATATCTTTTTCAGATCTTTTTCAGATCTTTAAAGCGATATATAGCTAATTTTCTGTCGGCTATAACTTTAACAAACGTCTGTTTGCTGTTTTTATTAAGTTCCAGCACTTATATCAATTTTCAATTGTCTTTTTCATTTAGTATCTATCTATATATATATAATTCTCTTCTGGGAGACGCTAGAAAACAAGCTGTAAACGCGCTCCCTACCACCCCCACCCCTACATTGTCTGGTGAGCACTCTAAATGTTTACAAACAGCCGGGTTTAGTGACGACTATAAGGGGCAGATAATTTAGTTTGAAACGATTTTAAATGTAGGGGGGAGGGGGAGAACTAAGTGGCGTTTACTTTAACGGAGGGGGGGGGGGGAGGGGGGTTATCGACCTTAACGAGCTAATTATAGTGTTTTAAAGAAATATTTTCAGTGGCATATGATATGCCGCGGGTCGGCTCGTATATATAAATTTCTTCTGGGAGACGCTAGAAAACAAGTTGTAAACACGCTCCCTACCATCCCCACCCCTACATGGTCTTATTGAGCTGTGGTTCACGCTATGTTTACCTTCGTGGAGTCGAGTTTAGTGACGGCTATTAGGGGCAGATAATTTAGTTTGAAACGATTTTAAACGTTAGGGGGGGGAGGAAGGGGAGGGGTATGGTCCTTAACGAGCTACTTATAGTGTTTTAAAGCAATATTTGCAGTGTCAGCGTTGGTACTGTCGAATTCACACATTATGAATTACTGAAAAGTAGAAAAAACAACAACTAAATAGCGGCGTATGTTATGCCGCGGGCCGGCTTGTTACAATAAATTTCTCTAGCTCTACAATCTGTCCAAGAAAGTTATTTAATCTTTATAGATCTAGATCTAGAATCTAGGTCAAACCAAGATTAATTAGTTAAAATAACAATGCATTTTAAAATCATAATACATTTTTGAGTTTCTATATTAAACTACTTTAATCCTTAAATACTTGATATAAATCTTTGTGATTTATCTATCTAGATCTAGATCTAGAATAGGTCTAATCTAGATCTAGATCTAGCGAGAGTTACGCAAAAACTAGACTGAAGCAAATCAGCCGTAGAATCTAGATAAATCCTTCTAGATCTAGATAATAATGAGTTTCTATAGTAAACTAATTCAGACCTTTACTATTTTTATAAATCTTTGTTTGTTTAGCTACGGAATTGGCTAATTTAAGATAAAATTTAATTTGAAAGTTTTTTAGACTTAGATCGAGATCTAGATGTGCGTAAATCAAGTTGCATAAGGAAACTCAAAGTATTATTATATAGCACAAAAATATCATTGAAGGCACGAGTCTACATAGCTAAGTTGTTAGTGTAATAGGCTTTCATGCGGGTGGCACGGGTTCTAGACACATCACGACAATGTAAAAAAAAAATAATTTTGATTTGTTTTTTTTTAGATGTGAATGATAAAGTTGCCTATTTGAACTTGGCGAGATACAGAGCAGGTGAAGTAGAGTTCATCTGTTTCTTTGTCCTAAGCATATGAAGGGATTGTGTGGTCAGATCCATGCTAGGTTGGAGTCGATTTTTTAAACGATAAAAACATGTTGTCTGAGACTTGGCGGGACACTGGGCAGGTGAAGTCGAGTTGAGTAGGTTACATGTGACGTCAGTATATGAAGGGATTGTGTGGTTAGACCTATACTCAGCCGAAATCGGTGTTTTCAAAAGATAAAAAAAAAACAACTTCATTTTGAATGTGGGGTCTGGTTATTTTGTGGTGATAAGTGACAGACGTGATGTCATTTAAGGATGATCCCCGAAACCCACAGTTATCCAAGGGATGACCGGGTAAGTCTAGTTAACATCTACTCTTTAGAAAAGTCCAAAAAAAAAAATTTCTTACATGCGTATCTTGTTAGAAACATATTTCGATTAAGTTTCAGACACACAGGCAGATTATTCGATGGGAATGAAGCATGGCATTGGAATTGGAATAGGTCTTGGTATAGGAACAATGTGTGGTGTCTTCATAATCAGCATTGCTGTAAGATGGAGGCTAAAAAGAACTACAAATTCTAAAGATGATGTAAAACATAACTATCCTGAACAAACCTTTGAATTCGGAAATAGATTAACATCACCTGCATTTAACAGTGAAAATGGTTAGTACACATTTATTCAATTATTCCGTATATAAAGAATATTCTTACTATGAAAAAAATATGTATAAAACGAAATTTTCGGAAGAAAATGAAAATATATTTTGGTGTATCAAAAACAAAATTTAAAAAATCTACTACAATTTTAAAACTCGACCATACTCATGTTCTACTAACAGGATTTGTTCTAAATAATCCATAAGAGAAAAAAACCAGTAATACACCATAGAATCAGACAAAAACATTGTACAAAATAAATAAACATGCTACACGAGAAAGTGTACCTAAGAAGAAAAAAACAAACCAAAGGGTAAAATTTATAACATTACAAAATTAGAAAGTAACAACTAAACAAAACAAAAACACCAAAGTCATAAAAACTTAAAGGAATAACTATGACAGTTATAACATTAATACAATATTGAAAATTTGAAAAAAAGAATACAAAAACAACTTAGAAAACACACACACACACACACAAATAGCATCTAAACAAATACAAGAAACTACCCAATAAAAACATGAAACACTTAACACAGCATAAACAACACGACAAAACCACAGACCAAGTAATTATCTACAGCACAGCAATACTAATAAAGTAAACCTCGACAAAATATGGCCCGATACAACGTGGCACAACACAAAACGATATAACACGATGACCTCTAGATGCCCACTAAATGATATCCTTCAAACTAAGCGTCATCACCAACAGAGACGCGCCCTTTCTACCAATAAATACATTTCTAAAAATAAACAAGGCCCTGCACTGGTCACTTTGAGAAACCTATCTGTAAAAACTGACGTGTGTGCTTATTTATTAAGCAGTATATGCCCGGCCTTGACTAGATTTTGAAAATACACTACTTTTTAATTAAGGGGGTAAGCTCCAGAAAAAGCAACTTCTTAATTAATAAGTTTTTTTATCTAAATGAAAATAAGTTCAAGTATCAGGACTCTTTGGGGAAATATGGTTGCCATTGCAATGGTGGCCATCACGAAAAAGACAACCTTTTGTGTAGCTCTGAAATTTTATTAACTAACATACTAATTTGCCATATAATCATGTATCCTTCATTTACTAACACTAACGGAGTCAGCTGTATATTTCAGAGAACACAACAGTACATGACTATATTAATGAATCATCGGAGACTACATTACCAGTAGCGGCTAATGAAGCAATCAGAAATTCTAACACCTACAACTCATTAAATAATGAATACAATGATGACTCTAATTATATGACAATAGTTTCTACGATATAAATACATAAGCTTTATTAAGACACATGATGTTCTGTAAGCAAATAACCACGTTTCAATTTTAAATGATATTTTTAACATGCTGTATTATAATATGTTGTATTTGGAGTAAAACGTGTGTGATAGTTAAATACCTGGCGATCGGAAAGGAAAGGATGAGGGGTCAAATACTATATTTTGTATGGGTTTTGGAGATCGCTCACTGACTGAAAGGAGTGAATGAATGGTTATGTAATCGGGGTGAATGAGATGTTCGAAAGGCCGCATAGATGAATGCAAGGGCAAGCTATGTAATTTGACTGATCGAACTTGAAATGTATACAATATTATTGATGTGATTCTTATATTGTGTATTCATACACTTTAAGAATAAGTGCTATATCAAAATAGACAAGTTCACAGATTCAAGTGCCACAAAATAGACTAGTTAGCAGATATAAGTGCCACAAGATTAAAAAGTTAACACATGCAATTGCTACAATGTTAGATCAGCTAACAATTGCAACTATTACAAATCGGACCAGTATTTAAAAAAAATTGAAAAGACAACAATTTAATTATAGACCGCAGATTCATGTGCTACACGAGTCAACAGATAAATATAATAAAACTATATTTGATAACAATCACGTAAATATGTATAGGACACCATAATCAAAGAACACATAAATAGAAGCAAAACAAAAATTGCAATACTAAGAGACAATTTTGAATTATTAACAGAATTTTGTGGATCAGCATCAGTAATTGATTCTTTTTTTTTCGATTGATTCATTTGAATAGACCATGAATTGATATTTCAATTATTACTTTTATAATCAATATCGTATTTGCGATGCCTGTTAAATACGTGTATATATTAGCTTGATCTGATATTTAAATGCCCATTGTTTGATGCGCCTTTTATACTGTTATATTAGTTAACTCACAGTGCTTTTGTTATCTATCTATCTTATATATATATTCTACTTTAACTCAAGTTTGTTTACATGTTTGTATTTTTATTTATTTATTTATTTTGCCTGTTTGGTTACAGGAGAGAATGTGTGTATGTGTACAGCTATTTAAATACGTATTTAGGTAGAGAATAAAGTTTTTTTTTTTTATCAAACTGTTAATCAAAAATCTATTTAAAGAGGTTAATTAATTTATTGATATATTCATTGGTAGATACACCACTTTTCCAAAATCTAGAATCTAGGACAAACCAAAAGTAAATAGTTACAAATAAAAACAATTATAAAAGACAATACATTATTGAGTATCTTTATTAAACTATTTTAGTCCTTATATATTTTATATAACTCTTTGCTTGTTAGCTTCAATGATAATCTAATTCGAGCACACATGGAATTTATCAATCTAGATTCTAGATCTGGAGCTACGGAAAAAACACTTAGACTCTAGATTTAAGCCAATCGTAGATTCTACATGTAGAAAATAGATGTAGCTCTATCTAGATCTAGAATCTATGCCAATAAGGAGTTTCTATACTAAACTGTTTCGGGCCTTAATTATTTTATATAAATATTTGTTTATTTAGCTATCGAATTGGCTAATGTGGGATTATTTAGTTTGAAATAATTAGGGCCTATTCACGAAACTGGTTTTTTACTTTGCAGTTTTTATAGGACTAATTCTACACTTATTTGAAACTGCTCACATAGCTAAGATGAAAGTATAATAGTTACCAAATGGGTTCGAGACACATCACGCCATCTTTTTTTACATGTAAATGATTAGGTTGCCTATCGGGATACATGGCAGGTAAAGTTAAGTTCGCCAGTTTCTGTGTCCTAAGCATATGAAGGGATAGTAGGGTCAGACCCACGCTCGGCCGAAATCATTATTTTAAAACGATAAAAACATGTTGCCTGAGACTTGGCGGAACACTAGACAGGTGAAGTAGAGTTGGGTAGGTGTAGAGTTCAAATGTGTGTTCTAATGAACAAAAACGTTTGAGATGTGACGCCTTTTTGAATGTGGGGTCTGGTGTTTTTATGATAATCAGTGACAGTAGGGAGGGGAGGAAAACAATAAAATTCGTAAAACAAACTTGATGTCATTTATGGATAACCCACGAAACCCACAGTTATATAAGGGTAACCGGTAGTCTAGTACGACTTTTATTTGCAAATGTTATATTTTCTATTTTTTTGTAATGTAAATCTATATTATTATAAATTGATTTATTTTAACCCAGTCTGATTGCCCGAATTATAGTTAAACGTCAGTATTGTAAGTTATGAGTAAATTATTTTTAGTTCGGCTGCAAAAGCATGACATAAAACTCAAATGCATCACGCATACAACTATTTTACACGTTATACATGGGTGTCCATAATAAAATATATAATAAGTAAGAGTTAAAAAAAAACCTAGTATTGACGAAAGATGGCTGTTAGACTTAGTTAAGCGTTAGCCTACAAATTATGTTTTTTCACTTATTTAGTTGACGTTCAATGGTCCCACAGGAGATAGCGTATTCGAGCGGTTCAAATCTAGTTTGTTTTGTTGAAAACACACACTAAGACATCAACTAACAAACCGGATTTAAAGTTGTGAAAATAAAATTCAACGTGATAAAAATATGGGATGTTTTTAATTGTTTTTAGTTCCTTTAGCCCTTGTATTCACACAGACAATTCGTGATGTTGAAATAATCATGTTTATATATAGCCCAAAAATGTACATGATATTTGCACTTTAATCTAAGCAGTTGTAAGTAACTTTATCAGACATGCACTATAAAACTAGATCAGATTCCGAACTCGAAACATTTTGTTTAGAGATCGAGAGATTTGCCAGTAGACCACGCCATTCCCTGGCTGATGTATGTGTCAAGCATCGAGTTAAAAGTTACATGTTTTTAAATTGTCCAATTATAAAAGTGTAACATTCCTTATAGCTAGAGTTAAATTATAATTACCCCGTCATTATGTGGGGTGATTCACTTCCGGGTCAGCCCCATTTACACACTCAACAGTCGGTGAACTGATCCGTGTCCAGTGTTCCTACGACGTTCGCAGTGATGTAGTGGGGACTTAAATGGAGCATGCTAGACATTTTGATGCTATGCAAATAGTTTTAAGTTAAGGGTTTTAGTTGGCCTGGGTCCGTAGTGAGAGTGAAGGGAGTTGGGGTGGTGGATCTATTAAATTGAAATTGCATAAACGAAGATCTATGACGTTTTGTGTCAGACAATGGGGTTAGGGTATATCTTGACTTACTTGACTTAGTCCTCTTTGCTCTTTATAGAACACAGGGTCTCCACTATTTCCTTCCATTTCGTCCGATCCCTGGCTATTAATTTTGTCGTCTCCCAAGACATGACTATTGCCTTTATTTCTTACATAGGGTGAAGTTATTTATAAACGAGACACTAACAAACACATCTAGTTGAATGCGACACGAACAAATGGACACACTGTTTCATACATTTATTAAAAGAAACTCCTACATGCAAACCCAGTAACACAAATTTGCTTCTACTTATGTTATAAAATATAAATATTACAGCCATTGAAAAATTCGAGAACGAAATAAATTATTACAATATGGATGCATATATGCACATTTTGAAATTTTGAAACACTTTGAAAAACAACACGGTATTTTATTATTAAAGGATGTAGTAAACACATGGCTAGTGTATGGTGAAACTCCGGGTCTATGTATTCTAAAAATAGATACAGGTAGATGATGGGGAACTTGAAGGCCTAATTATTAGTGTGGTGACTTGGAGAACAGAAAGGTGCGAGGAGCCAGCAGAATAGCAGGTATTAGATACACCTACTATGTTGGTAAATTGTAGACAGTAACTTTAACTGAGTTTTGGAGAGTTGGAAAGTTTCGCAATCCTTACCAGACTTTGTCAAATAAATAGTTGTGTCGCAACACACATACAAGATTGTGAATCAAAACACGAGCTACGAGTTATGTTTTGATAATCTGTGTAACAAGATAATAAGGTAAATACTAGTCTACTTTTTTTTAGCGTTTGCATAGAAATATATAAAATATATATATATATATATATATATATATATATATATATATATATATATATTAATGTAATACGTGGTATAATAAGTGATCAATTGAAAGATTGTCGAGAGTTTTAAAACTTCAATACAAAATAAACTTCCTGGTGCGTATAGAGAATTGTGTTGCTCGTGTTGCAAGGAATAACGTTTAACATTCAGGTGAAACTACAAGTTTCCTTATTTATTCTCAACGATACATGTGTAACATCTAAAAAAAACCTGTAAATTATAAAATATTAAACCTGCAGACGCGTCGTGTACACATCTCTACAATTAACAGACTTATGTAAGTATTATACAATGTATACTTTATATTTCTGCCGTTTAAACTTAGTCACGTACTGTTGCTGTAATAATAAAACTAACAATAGGCAGCATTGTATTTCACCGCTAAGAAATAAATGTCTGAAAGAATATAAACGTCACATTCGGATACAGTTTAACAGACAACTGAAGAGTAATAAAAATGATATTTTATAATGAAGGTCCGCTGTTCGGCTTTTAAAATTATACAATTATATAATAACCAGGGCGAAAGAACTTTAGTATTTGCAAAGGTTTACGGACTTCATTAGCTTTAGTTATTAATAAAGGCAAAATTAAAGTGTATGTACATTAGATATATTTGAAATTTTTAACGTATAACAGTTAAAACACGGAAGCAAATTAGTAAAACATAAAAAATACATACTTATCACTTTAAAGTCATGTCAATAATAACAGCTCAAAACTAAATCGCATTCACAACTTCACGACATTATCAGAATGACAGTTTCATAAAATTATTCGAATGACAAATCCTGGAAATTAAAATGACAATTCTTGGATATAATAATAACTGCTTCAAGACATAATCGCATCGATAGATCCAAAACACGATGTTTACTACTAGATCTGATTGATTTGTCAGCGCTGAGGCATAGGGACGTGTCAGATGACATCTACATGACTGTACTCGAATAACAGTTATGTGACCTAATTTTCATGACAGCCCCAGGTCCTAAATAGAATTTCATAGCTCATTCATTGTGTATTACAAATATAAAAGGTATTGTGTGTTATTCATTTTTAGTTATTGCCGTTGTCATATATATATATATATATATATATATATATATATATATATATATATATATATATATATATATATATATTTATATATAGATATATAGGCATATATATATATATATATATATATAGAGAGAGAGAGAGAGAGTAATCGGATGAATATTTTTTATATATGGGCGAGTTTAATGTATTGCTTTAATTTAGCACTCGTTTTATTAAGAGCAATGTGAAATCAAACGTAAATATAGCCTTTAGTTATACAACATGAGGAGTCAGTAATCTAAACAAAACGAAAAATTAATTACACAAATTGTTAGCGGAGTAGCCTAGCGGTAGAGAGCTAGACTGCTAACCCGAAAGTCTTGAGTTCAAATCAGCATCAGGTCCCTGTGTCCACTCGGCTCTTATGGTTACCTAACTCAAGTTAGGCTGGCTACTGGCAGGCCTCATTATCCCATTTTATGCCGAAGTTATTGATACAGACGAACTTTACTTTACCTGCCTCATGTGTCTTGGGAAGAGATGAAATGAGATACAATTATTAGTATTAGCAACTGACACGTTTTTCTAAAGCATGTAATTTTTTTGTTTCAGTCCAAGACAGTCGATGTGTAGATCTCTCTCTTTACAAGCTCTGTAAGCGTTGTGTGTGTCGGTCTATGATTTACACACACTAGACAATATGTCTACCCTACTGCTAGCGGCGCTAGTGTATGTTCATATAGCTTATGGAGCAGAATCAGGTGCATATCGTTAGTACTCGTGTTAGTTGTATTCATTACATAGGCAGGTACATGCCTATTGATAGATTCGTGTGTATATTTTGACTACTTATGCAAATATATACATAATCATATAAAACAGATTTGCACATGTATATATATATATATATATATATATATATATATATATATATATATATATATATATATGCATATGTGAGCGGAAGTATGTGTGCAGTTAGCCATATAGGCCTACTTGTTGTGTGCAGTCTTGAGTACAATTATTATTTAGCATTAGTTACTCCCTGGCGTAATGTCATCATTTTGTTACGTCCACCACATTTTTCAGCTTGTAACGTAGGCTGGTTTGGTACAAAGTGCCAGTACAAGTGTCACTGCACTGACAACAAGTGTAGTACTACTACAGGTGTATGTGTCCATGGTGCTACCTGTATGGAAGGCTGGTTTGGACCAAGTTGCCAGTACCGTGAGTTAGAACACAAAACTTTGTCAAAGTCATATAATATCTAAATGACATTTAATTACATAGGTGATTGTTAGTGTGCACTGTTATACATGTAGTATTTTATCATGAGAATTCTAGAGAGTGCACTAAGCAAATAATCTTTAGTGAGTACCTGATGTAATGGGGATTGTACTGATCACAAAATAAAATGAAATAAAATTTGTTTCCATAATGTTGAGTTGATTACACATATAATAACACACACCATTTAATGTGTGTATGTATATAATGTATCCATGTATGATCTCTCTCATTATATATATATATATATATATATATATATATATATATATATATATATATATATATATATATATATATATATATATATATATATATATGATCGTATACATATATTTCCTAAAAAAATTTAAACCCAACTAACAGAGGACCTGGGCAACAAATCAACAAAATTAAAACCAACTAGCAGTAGTTTAACTGATGGTAACGATGAATCATGCGACGACGATGCCATATATTCTGTACAACTCACATGGCAGATAGAGTACCAAATTTCCTGGATCAGGATTGTGTACCGTGCCCCAGGTTTGTTGTTACAAAGATGTTTTATATCCATTATTCACAATTTCTTTACTATCAAATCTATTCTATTGTAAAACAATATGATGCAATAAGTGTTAAATTATAGAAAAGGTTGCTATAAATTGCAAGGGGATGAACTATCTAAATATACACGGTAGCTTATATTCTGAACTAAGAGTAAAGTTTGGGTAAAAACCAGCATTGAATCCGGCTATATCATGGTTAGTTTTAGTTAGTTCTTGACATAACGTCTCGTTCGAAAAAACAAACCCTAGGTGAAAGATTATTGGAATATGGTGCTTTACGATAATAAATTATTAAGTAAATGATTTGGAGATATCAGAAATACAGAAAACTACCAAATTCAGCATTAAAAGCAACAACAAAAATATGAATGTATAAGTAAAATATAAATATAAATATATAGTAGGTATGTATATATGTACTAGCTGTATCCCGTGCTCCGCCACGGTAAATCATTTTTAAATATACCAACTTTGGAACAGAACAAAACTAAACACAACACAAACGAACGAACGCAAAAAAAAAAAACGAAAAATGAACACAACACTCATAACATAAACACAATTTAAATGCAATCATAAAGGCATATTGCTCACAGTCTAGCCCGTAGCGCCAAATCGCGCCCTTTCCGAGTCCCGGCGGACGCGTCTGACACAGTGAATGACTACAAAACAGAGGCGTTGCGACCCTTTCCGGCGCCCGGGGACAAACTTTCGATTTGACCCTCCCTCAAACTTACGATTTGCACCCCCTCCCCTCAAAATTTCAATTTCCACCCATCCCCTTAAACTTTTGATTTGCATTCCCCTCAGACTTTCGATTTGCACCACTTTTGATTTGAAATTCCCCCCGCTCAAACTTTTGATTTGCACCCCCTCAAACTTTCGATTTGCACCCTACCCCCCTCCCCCTCCCTAAAACTTTCGATTTCCACCCCCCCCCCCCCCTAGCTACGCCTCTCTTATAAAACCCCAGCTCGTCCGCAAACCGAAAGATAGAATAATAATAAATAATATACAATAAAAAATAGGCAATATTTAAAATATCCGTGTTTACCTACCATATATCACTTTATTAATTCACGCATTTTTTCCCAGTGTTTTAATTTAAAAAAATTACAATTGAGTTTCATAACTAAAACCATTGCGCACCCAATGTCTATAATGGTGCGGAATAGTTGATTAAAAATTATAATTAGTAAACAGTACATTCAGTGAATAAAATAAATAAAAGATAGCCTTTTATCAATCAATGCTAATAATAATATTCCAACAATAATGTACTCTTACACGTCTGCATAATTTGCATTCACATTTTGCTAATTATATTATTCCAACAATTATTCCGTCTTGCAGATTTTGCATTCACATTTTTAGCGTGAGTTCAATTTATCTTTGAATTACCTCCATTGGCAAAATTACTAAACAGTTTAATTAGATTTCTCTACCCTACTGTTATTATGTTATTAAAATGAATCCACTTTTTCTGGGAATATTAACGAAAACGATATTTGACATTTATCCTTTTTATATGTTTTAGCAATGTGCGTGTATTTAATATTCTCTTTACGTTATGCAAAATTGTACAAACAGTGGAAATTATAAAATAGCTCTATGCCGTTATATAAACAAACCCTACTCTATTACCTATAATAAGACACTGCGGTGCACTGAAAAGCACAGCATGGTGCGTAGTTTACTTTTATAGTCCCAAAATCTATAGCGATGACGGACAGACACAGCCCGCCTATATATATACTAGCTGCATCCCGTGCTCCGCCACGGTCAATCTTTTTTAAATGTACCAACTTGGGAACAGGACAAAACTAAACACAACACAAACGAACGCAAAAAAAAACACAAACGAAAAAACAAACACAACACTCATAACATAAACACAATTTAAATGCAATCATAAAGGCATATTGCTCACAGTCTAGCCCGTAGCGCCAAATCGCGCCCTTTCCGGTGATTTGCACCCCCTCAAACTTTCGATTTGCACCCCTGTCCCCCCCCCCCCCCCGCCCTAAAACTTTCGATTTCCACCACCCCCCCCTCGCAAATTTTTTCCAACCCACTTTGGCGCCCCCTAAGGTTGGCACCCGGGGACATATGCCCCCCCCCCCCCCGTCGCTACGCCTCTCCTATAAAACCGCTAGCTTGTCCGCAAACCGAAAGATAGAATAATAATTAGTAAACAGTATAAATAATAGGCAGTATTTAAAATATCCGTGTTTTACCTACAATATTTCACTTTATCCATTCACCAATTTTTTCCCAGTACTTTAAATTTTAAAAATTTACAATAGAGTTTCATAACTAAAACCATTGCGCACCGAAAGAACGTGATGGCGCGTCTATAATAGTGCTTAATAGTTGATTAAAAATTATAAGTAGTAGACATTACATTCAGTGAATAAAATAAATAAAAAATAGCCTTTTATCAATCAATGCTAATTATAATATTCCAACAATAATGTACTCTTACACGTCTGCATAATTTGCATTCACATTTTGCTAATTATATTATTCCAACAATTATTCCGTCTTGCAGATTTTGCATTCACATTTTTAGCGTGAGTTCAATTTATCTTTAAAATACCTCCCTTGGCAAAATTACTAAACAGTTTAATTAGATTTTTCTAACCTACAGCTATTATGTTATTAAAATGTATCCACTTTCTCTAGGAATATTAACGAAAACTATATTTGACATTGATCCTTTTAATATGTTTTAGCAATGTGCGTGTATTTAATATTCTCTTTACGTTATGCAAAATTGTACAAACAGTGGAAATTATAAAATAGCTCAATGCCGCTATATAAACAAACCCTACTCTAATACTTATAATAAGACACTGCGGTGCACTGAAAAGCACAGCATGGTGCGTAGTTTACTTTTATAGTCCCAAAATCTATAGCGATGACGGACGGACGGAAGGAAGGAAGGAAGGACAGACACAGCCCGCTTATATTATAGACTAGCTGCATCCCGTGCTCCGCCACGGTCAATCTTTTTTAAATGTACCAACTTGGGAACAGGACAAAACTAAACACAACACAAACGAACGCAAAAAAAAACACAAACGAAAAAACAAACACAACACTCATAACATAAACACAATTTAAATGCAATCATAAAGGCATATTGCTCACAGTCTAGCCCGTAGCGCCAAATCGCGCCCTTTCCGGTGATTTGCACCCCCTCAAACTTTCGATTTGCACCCCTGTCCCCCCCCCCCCCGCCCTAAAACTTTCGATTTCCACCACCCCCCCCCTCGCAAATTTTTTCCAACCCACTTTGGCGCCCCCTAAGGTTGGCACCCGGGGACATATGCCCCCCCCCCGTCGCTACGCCTCTCCTATAAAACCGCTAGCTTGTCCGCAAACCGAAAGATAGAATAATAATTAGTAAACAGTATAAATAATAGGCAGTATTTAAAATATCCGTGTTTTACCTACAATATTTCACTTTATCCATTCACCAATTTTTTCCCAGTACTTTAAATTTTAAAAATTTACAATAGAGTTTCATAACTAAAACCATTGCGCACCGAAAGAACGTGATGGCGCGTCTATAATAGTGCTTAATAGTTGATTAAAAATTATAAGTAGTAGACATTACATTCAGTGAATAAAATAAATAAAAAATAGCCTTTTATCAATCAATGCTAATTATAATATTCCAACAATAATGTACTCTTACACGTCTGCATAATTTGCATTCACATTTTGCTAATTATATTATTCCAACAATTATTCCGTCTTGCAGATTTTGCATTCACATTTTTAGCGTGAGTTCAATTTATCTTTAAAATACCTCCCTTGGCAAAATTACTAAACAGTTTAATTAGATTTTTCTAACCTACAGCTATTATGTTATTAAAATGTATCCACTTTCTCTAGGAATATTAACGAAAACTATATTTGACATTGATCCTTTTAATATGTTTTAGCAATGTGCGTGTATTTAATATTCTCTTTACGTTATGCAAAATTGTACAAACAGTGGAAATTATAAAATAGCTCAATGCCGCTATATAAACAAACCCTACTCTAATACTTATAATAAGACACTGCGGTGCACTGAAAAGCACAGCATGGTGCGTAGTTTACTTTTATAGTCCCAAAATCTATAGCGATGACGGACGGACGGAAGGAAGGAAGGAAGGACAGACACAGCCCGCTTATATTATAGATATATATATATATATATATATATATATATATATATATATATATATATATATATATATATATATATATATATATATATCGATAATTGATACACAATTCTTATATTTTCAACCCTATAAAGGTCTGCTCAGTAATTTAGTTTTTGACATAACATCTCAATTTTGGAAAAAAAAACCTAGGTGAAAGGTTTTTGGAATATGGTGCTCTACGATAATAAACTATAAAGTAATAGACACAGAATTATTTAGAGATATCAGAAATACAGAAAACTACCAAATCCAGAATTAAAAATTAGAAAAATATAAATGTATATATATAAATATATATTGATAATTGATACACAATTCTTATATTTTCAACCCTCTAAAGGTCTGCTCAGTAACATGAGCCTGAAGCTGGGACAGAATAACTGTGAAAATCAAATAATAGATATTTTGGACAATTCAACCGCAGATATCTACTGTAATGTGGAAAAATTATACACTAATTTGACTTTATCATGGAACGAGAGGATAACTATTTGCTCAATTTATGTGAATGGAGGTAAGCTTATTAAAATTTCTACACGGACAAACCAGAATTATATTAACTTTATATCTGTTACGTTAGTTTTAGTGGAATATTCACGTGTTCTTTTTTTAGTGTTTCCCTATCGATTATATTTATTCTGATTTCGTCAATCATAGATGTGGGCCAGATTTCCCATTTTACCTCGATCTGCGTGATAAATGACATCAAAATATCTTTATGCATAAATAATAGCTGCTTTAGCAACTTGCTTTTGACCATTACCATTAGCACCTCATTTTTCCTTTGTTTATAAAAAAAATTAAACGATAAAAACTGAACTGTTTTTATTGCTGTTTTAATTTTTCGTGTGTTGAATTGATGAATAAACGGTCGTAGTTAATCAGAATATTAAAAAATGTATACTGGTAAAACTGCTTTTTACTAGTGCACATTTTTGTTTACTATACTTACTAGCATACTAATCGTTTCATCAAACAAATTGCGGAGAATCTATTGACAAAAACAAAATTTAAAAAGAGCAAACATTCATGGTTTGGTTCTGATTTTTTAAAAAATCTTACATTAGCACGTTTTAAGCAAACATTAATATGTTGCGCTAAATTCGTTATCTTTTTTACTATGGCGACAATCGGATAGCTAGAAGGGTTTGGGAAACAAATACAATCTCAACATAACATGGTCTCACACTGTATAAAGCCTATATATATATATATATATATATATATATATATATATATATATATATATATATATATATATATATACATATATATATGTAACACATATGGTTACCAGCCAAGGGGGATAAAAATATGAAGTTTTTATTCATTGGGTTGCGGCCCCTGTGGGACTGCAACTGAACTGTTGACGTTGTTTTTTTATGCTTTTGTGAGCGATGTTACCTGTGTTCCATGTCATGTGACATGGGACTGTGGGTAGTTTCATGCCTAGCCGTGTCGCACACGCAAGGCTGCTGTCTGTGGACCAAGATGTAGACCTAATGAAGGTAGTTATATAAATTATGTTTGTTAAAATACTTAGTTGTGTATTCCTGCTAGTGCTGCATGTGCACACTAGTTAGGGTGAGTATTAATGTAAGTATTTATTTGAAGTACTACGTATTGGTACTTGTTGGCAGTACTGTGTACTGGCCAAAACATATTTTATTGTTACCCGTGTATATGGTAGCCTACACATGGTGTTGTCAGGAATGTAACTTTTTTTATTGACATTTGTTTTAGGGCTACAGTTTTTTGGACTTTTGGTCTTTTGGTTTTGGTCTTTTGGATTCTTTCTTCTTGGCTAGTTTGTTTTGTACTACTGTGTTGCATCGCCGTCATGGCTCGATGCTGTAAATAAAGCGAGTACTGGACAACAACTGTCGGTGTCGGTGTGTACTTAATCTCAGGGTCTGCCCGTCTTAACCACAACACCTCAGTGGGTAAAAGCATCCCCACTGAGTGAGGGTTACATATATATATATATAGGTTCCTCACACAGTTATGTATTTGTGATGTGTAGGACGTAATGTTGCCCTAAAACAGACGGCTGTCCAGTCAAGCACTTATATGGTTGCGGGTGAAAGTAAGGCAAAGGCCAGCAACGCTGTCGACGGGGATCCCAATAGTAATTTTAATGGCGGCTCCTGCACGCACACGGCAGTCAACCCTATATCGCTTCCACAGTGGAGTGTCAGTTTTTCATCCCCACAGTTGGTGCACAGATATGTTTTGTACAACAGAAGTAAGTATCATACTGTGTTGTTTAGTTTATTATAAAAGTGTTAAATTAATAACAGATATTTATTCTCACGGCAACTGTTCTATAAATGTTATACCATAATATCTTCTACTTGATTCTAAAAGATGATCAACTTAATATCAACGAAGAACAATACAATTAAAGCATTCGTTTTTCAGATGAAGAACCAGAAAGACTTAAGGGATTTATACTCCAAAGCTACTCAGCCGACAATGCTCTAGTATATAACTATACAGACAGTGGCAACACATTATCCAATTACACTGTAACAACAGTTGGGAAAGAAGTATTAAAGGTTACAATAAATGCAACACAAATATTGACATTATGTGAAGTAGAAATTTACGGAGGTATGTACTTGCATGTTCGTTACTATGATTATATATATATATATATATATATATATATATATATATATATATATATATATATATATATATATATATATATATATATATATAAGGCGTTATATGTAATTTCGAGGTACTGATATTATATACAACGTGTTGTATTACTAATGGCTTTTTAACGTCTGTTCATTGTGTCGACTTTTGTGTTGTTCGATTTTAAAGGATATATCTAGAATCTAGAATTTGTATAATCCATATACTCGCTGAATTATAACTCTATAACAGAACGCATCTGTGCACCTGGATATTTTGGACTAGACTGTGACCAACAATGTCGCTGTAGCGACACATCTGAGACTTGCATGTCTATCACTGGTGGATGTTTATCTGGTTGTTTGTCTGGGTACTATGGCCAGGGATGTCAGATGGGTGTGTATTCTACTAGTATATGGACATATGTTAATTTTATCTTTATTTTTCTTCTAAAGTGAATACTATTATTACTATTTTAACGTTATGTATCTTAGCAAACTGGTAATACGGTAATAATAAAATATGGGATATTGAAATAATCTTCCATTGTAATTTACGTTTAGTTATTACGCAATTATAAAATGCATTTTATAAACACAAGAATACTAAGATGCTTTTATTGTATAATTTTTCAAATTGTTTAAAAGGGAGGGCAGGGGTAATGCAAATAACTTGAAAATTCTTCGTTCACTTAAATAAAGTGTTTTTCAATAAAAATTATTACTCGTCTGGTGTTGTGACTGTCGTTTAATTAACTTTTGATTTCTTTCATCTGTAGAATGTTCACCCAAAAAGTGGGGCGTCGATTGTCTCAAGACCTGTAGTCCATTCTGTCGTCACCCTGAAGATTGTAGTCGGACCAACGGCTCGTGTTATGACGGCTGTCAGGCTGGGTACGGGGGTCCTACATGCATCGATGGTAATGTAGACATTTAGAACACATATCACATATGATTAAACACAATTCTCTTAGATACGAAAACGGTATATATACCATATATAAATAAATGTTCATGATTTTTTTAGAATGCCCTGCTGGAAGATGGGGATATAACTGTGCCAATACATGCAGTGAACACTGTGCTAGTGCCAGCCTGTGTGACAAACGAACCGGAAACTGTTCATCAGGATGTAGTGCTGGTTACCTTGGTGACATGTGTGATATGGGTATACACTTTGTTTTAGAATTATGTTAGACGTTAGTCACTAAAACAAATACTTGTCAGATGAAGGTAAACGATCAGTTGGTCATTATATAAAAAACTTTCAGAGACAGCAACACTAATCACGAATACATGATTTTAATATAACTCTACTTCACTTGCCCCATAAACCGTCAGGTTTGAAAGGGAAACTTTACTATATATATAAAATATATTGTTTTACATCCATCATCGTAGGCTAATATTAACCTAAAGAGAATTCATTCATTCATTTTTTTAAAAATATACAATTTATCTTTAAGAATGTGACAATTTGACCTTTGGCCTGAATTGTCTGGAGAACTGTTCTATCAACTGTGGTGGGGATGGAAAATGTGACATTGTTAGCGGCTATTGTTTGCAAGGTTGCATGTCTAAATATGGCGGTGACGTGTGTGATCAGCGTGAGTAACATTTTGATTAAGTTGGTCTTTTAACTTTCAATTAATGTGTGAAGACAATGTAAGCACAGTTTTTGAGTATCTATATTCCGAAATAAAGTTTTCTTGTGCATTATTCATAGATATATTATATTAAATTTTGTCTTTCTTGTTAACTATCGTTTATTTTGTTGCATACACAATAAAATAATGTGTTGGTTCTGCATGTCCAATATAAGAAAAACCAAAGTTTTAAAAAGTATCGATATAATGTTGCAGTGATCCAGGAGAATGCAACCGAATCTGTTGCCATCATTATACCAGTTGTATTGGTAGCTATCATAACAGTGTTAATTATTGGAGCTGTTGTGATACTATTAAAGTAAGACGCTTTTTATTTCTTGATATAAACATATGGTTAATATATATATATATATATATATATATATATATATATATATATATATATATATATATATCCTTTCTATGTATGTTATAAAGATGTGCTAGTTTACTAGAGATTACCCCTTACTTTAGTATTATGTTGCTCTCTTACAAGGCGCAAGAAAATTAAAGAAAAGTCTGTTGAAACACCGGATAAAGTACTAGACAATCGACGATCGTTAGAGACAACTCATTCGGCAGGTGAAATCATTACTCACACATACAAAAACATTGTTTTTTTATTTCGCATTTTCGCTTTATACTATCAGACATATACTTACATTCAGTGCGCGCTTACACATGTAACATGTATCTAGGTGAGACCGTCAACGCTAAAGTTTTAAACAAATCATCAGACAATGAAGTGAAGATTGAGAACAAATATGTCCTCATTGAGTCCATAGACGGTTCTATAGCTGCTCATCAGTTGGCTGCTTTCTTGCACACACGAGACAAAGGGTATTTTGATGAACAATTCAAGGTAATTACTTTTTTTTATTTATACATAATTTTAATTATAATTTTAATGATAAAAAATTGTCACTCCAATTTTGTTTTCTTTAGCTATCCTATAGTATTTATAACTTTAAGATAAGTTACATGATAAATACATTTTAAAAACAACGATGTATTACATTTTGTTTAACAACATGAAATCAAAGTGTTTGGTTTATAGGCCTCTACATTACTAAAACTTTCTCCTTACACTTTCAGAAAATACCAGCACCTGAAAATGTTTCCACAGCGATTGGTCTCAGCGAAAAGAACAAGCACAAAAATAGATACAAGAATATCTGCACATGTAGGTGCCATATGTATTGTGTTCTATGCTATGTAGCCTACGTTTGTATTTATATTAATCTTACTTTAATTATTATGTAACTTTTTCCTTTGAACTAAAATTTACAGATGACCATTCCAGAGTACACTTGGATATCAATGAAAAAAAGAATGAAGGAGACTATATCAACGCTTCATACATTCAGGTAGTCTTAAAATACACGTTTTTAACACATATGAGACTAAAAACTTGATTTTTATTCTATATTATCATACTAGTACATATGTTTTTTTTTTCTTTTAGGGATACAACAGTGAGGATAAATTCATTGCTTCGCAAGGTATTTTCAAATTAACAAGTTATTAGATAACCCTTTAGGTTTTAGGTATCTAAATAGTATTGCAATTATAAACATGAGTGCATTACAAAGACAACAGCAAATATAAACATTTGAAATCGTTATTATCCAATATTTTTTTATTTGAAATTAAGCCCAGCATACGCATATTTTCAAGTCATGTTAGCATCCTGTGTAAAACGTGTGCTCAAATATGTATTTCATGTGTGTTTGTTCCGTAGGACCCAACAGTATTATTATCAACGACTTCGTACGAATGTTGTGGGAACAAAAAGTGGATAAAGTTGTGATGTTGACTAATTTGATAGAGGAAGGAAAGGTAAGTTGATTGCTGTTTTGTTTTACCACTATTTACGATTGGAAAATAATGTTTTAGTAACAATGGCTCTAAAATACGCATGAATACATATATGATTTAGTAAATCCTGGTATATATTCAGGTCAAGTGCGACAGGTACTGGCCAGAAGATGGGAAGATGATGTTTGGAGATATTAAAGTTAAACTGGCTGTCACACATGTGTTTGCTGATTATACGATCAGAAGATTGCTGTTAAGTAAGGTAATGACATTGGAAAAACCTGCATCCCAACTAAATTTAATTGACTTAATTTTTTTTTATTTTTTTTTTTACTATTTTAAATTTTCGTTTTTCGTTAGTAGCAAAATAAGTCTTGTAAGTAGGTCAGTAACTTATCGTTACTTGCCAGCCAGTATTTTTCAAGCCGAAATTGAATATTTTTTATTACATGGGACACAAAAAAAGTTAATCCCGATTTTGTTTAAGTTTTTTAAAATCGTAAACAATGATAAATCTTGAAACAAGGCATAGAAAAAATAGGTCCCATGTGGTAGTTTGTATCAATTGTAATCGTGTTAAGACAATTATTTTAGTTCGGAAATGTATCTCTACCATCCTATCGATATTTCAAATTTTAAGCGAGAGAGACCTAGACTAAAAAACTCTATTGAAGTTAGTTCAATGTAAAAAATAAAACAAATAAAAAGTCTTATTGCATTGTTAAAACCACAGAAAAGCACTGAAGTTCAACAGGTGATCCAGTTCCACTTCACGTCATGGCCGGACAAGGGCGTGCCCATAACTCCCTGGGCGTTGGTGGACTTTGAGCAGAGGGTGGCTTTCAATCCGACCAGTAGACCTGTGGTCGTCCACTGCAGGTAGGCTTGCTGGCTACTACAGTACAATCATGGCTGCGTTATCTTTACATACATAGTATTATCATATAATTGAGCTTGAACAGGTGCGTGTATTATTTTACAGTAATAAGCAAATATTAGAAATATATAGAATGCTTAACATTGATAGTTTTTGGGAGACATGTTGGAGCCTTTATACAATCACGAATTAATTAGAGTTCAATGTTAATATATATTTTCAAAGTCTTAATATTAAGTTAAGACAGCTAAAAAAATCAAACTTCCATGTAGTGTTGGGGTTTTAGTATAAAAGGAGGATACAAAACACAACAAGCTACTGAATTCTAGTGAACTGGTTTAAGTTTTATGTGAAACAATATTAATTACTGACGTGATTTTAGCGCTGGTGTTGGCCGTACAGGGACATTTATCGCACTGAGAAATGTGATGAGAGAAGCTGAGGAGACTGGACGTGTTAATTTCTTACAGACAGTCGCCAGGCTAAGACAGGACAGGATGAATATGGTACAAACAGCGGTAGGTGGATGGGGCTTATAGAGTAGGTTATGGGGCTTTTTGGTTAGGTCAATGGGGCGTTTAGGCTAGGCAAATAGGGCTTTAAGACTAGGGCAATGGGTCTTTTTGTCAAGGGGGATGGAGCTTTTAGGCTAGAGTGATGGAGCTTTAATGCTAGGGCAATGTTTTTTTTTTTTGGCAAGGGGATGGGGCTTTTAGGCTAGATAGGTGGGGCTTTTTAATTAGGTTTTACATACAAAACTATCTGTTTGGTACTAGCTTTGGTTGATAAGCCTGTGGTAATTTGTATGAATCATTACCTGTAGGTTTATGGGTTTTTTAAGAAACATAATTATCTCTGTCTAACAAACATTGGTAGAATTATTTGGCTTTTAGTCTATAATATAATTGCCTATTGTTAATTGTTGTTTAAATATGTCATTAAAATATTAATTACTGCAAATCTAGTGGCTTCAGATTCCAAATAATTTGCTTAATTTAAACTAGACGTAAAGATTTTATGATTTTAAAAACGATTTTTAGTATATTGAAACTCTACTTTACCAGGAACAATACGAATTTCTCCACAAAGCTGCACAAGTAGCAATAACATGTATAGGTACCACAATCACAGCCTATGATGTTGACGTGAAGGTTCAACATCTTCTGGACAAATCTGTGTCGGGGAAAACTAATCTGGAAAATGAATTCAATGTAAGCAATATGGTGTAGTGTGCATTGGTGAGTAATTATAAAGATAATCCACATGTAGTAGAGTCATTAAACAAAAACAAAAACTTATATCGTTTTACACAGTCGGTATGTGCTGTAAGCGCTGACTTACAGACAGCTGGTAAAGAAGAAGAAAAAGAATTGAAAGTTTACGAAAACAACCAAGATGTGGACTTGATGAGGAGATCATGCCAAGTATGTACTTTACTATAATTAAATTCATCGATTTAATGAATAAGAACAACAGTAATTGAAAATAAAATGCATTAGTAATTTCGGTTCATAATAGTTGTTTATAATTGTAGATAATATTTTTTACTGCTAAAATAAAGTGAAAGATAAGTAACGTTATTTTTTTTATTTCGGCAATTTATCGTTGTGTAACTACTGATTTGTACCTGTTTATCTGTATTACAAGATCGCATGTACCAAGCTAAGCTGTCTAGAAGCAGACCAGAAGACAGCGACTACATTAACGCGGTTGTCTTTCCTGTAAGATTTTTTTTCTTTTTTACAGAATACTTATTATTTTTGAAAACATGATTACATTTTAAAATTAAAAAAAAACAACTCATTTTAGAAGAATTTGTTTAATTACAACTGTTTATCAGAGCTTCACCAAACTTGAGCATCAACAAATTATAAAATCTTTGTTTTAATTCCACCTGACCATCAGAGCTTCACCAAACTTGACCATCAATAAATTATAAAATCTTTGTTTTAATTCCACCTGACCATCAGAGCTTCACCAAACTTGACCATCAACAAATTATAAAATCTTTGTTTTAATTCCACCTGACCATCAGAGCTTCACCAAACTTGACCATCAACTGCTGACACAACTGCCCCTGCCAACAACTGTGGAAGACTTCTGGAGGCTGATTGTTGAGTACAACGTCACGTTGGTGGTGGTGTTTGATGTGGGACTCGTGCTACACGACAAGGTACTCGTTCGTTATTCAGCTTTGACATTAGTAAAATATACATTTATTAATGACAATGTCTGCATGCATAAAACTGATAATTTAGTATCAGATATTTTGTTTTATATACAATAGTCGCAATTCGAAAATTATATGCAACAGTAAACTTTGTTAATTTGCATTGTAGAGTTTGTCACACAATTACAACAGTCCCATTTTTAGTAATGCCTGATATAACTTTAGACTTAAGAATTATGTTAATACGTTTACAAATACAAAGTCATTGCTAGAGATTCAATAACTGTCGGCCATTATTCTAGACATTAGGTCACTACTTGCCAGCCTCAGCCAATGAGATGTTGAACATCAGAGACTACACAGTGGAGCTCAAGTCAAGCAACACACACACATTATGGGAGGAAAAAACTGTTGTCGTTAGAACTATGGGATCTCTACAGCTGAAGTCATTCAATGTAAGCTCAAGTAATGAGGATAACTATAATGTTAACTCAAGTATACTTTATTGTGTGAACATACGGTGTTTTATTTTTAAGACAGTAACAATCCTGTCATGTTGCAGACACAAGACGGTCACACTGTTCTACATCTACAAAGTAAACTCACCACACTGGACACAAAGACGTTGCTGCAGTTTATAAAACAAACAAGAAAACACGCAAACAAGAAAGGAAGGGTGCTATACATGTGCAGGTATGTGTTTAGAAATAAAGATTCATGTTTACAATGGTTTTATTTAAAAAAAAAATAGAAAGCAAAACCGATTTTCAGTTTTATTTTATATAGTAGTAAAATATGTTTTATGGCCTTGAGTTAAAACATTACGTTAGTAATCTTCTAGCTTACTCTAAGACAATGTATTAAACCTTTAATATTACAGGTAATACAAATTAAATTTAGTCCGCATTATGCGTAGGCTAAAGTTAATGTTTTAAGAATTCAACGCTTAATAAATCTCTAATAAAAAAAAAAGTATTAGTCAGTCATTAAATTAATGATTAATAATTCGATGATCAGAGATGGGGCCACCTACAGCGGTCTTGTCTGTGTTTTGAACCTCCTACTAGACAGGATGGACAATGACCTACGGCTAGCTGTGCCATTAGTTGTTGGGGCGGTCAAGTCCATTCGACCACATGTCATTCCTACACTGGTGAGTCATGTTATCGTGTTATGAATTAATGTATTGTTCAATGTAACGTAGATATTCACTTCCTTGCTACTGTATTACATCAAGTCAATATTATACTACTGTGATACTTTTTTGCTGTTGAGCAAGACATTTTTAAAAAATAGACTACTTACGTTCAACTTTTATTTCGAGTCTATCAACTCTCTTGTTCTACTGTTTTGTTCTTCCTATTTGATGTTTATCATAATATTCTGTGAAGAAAGTTTTTTCTGGCATTACTGTATTATTTACTCAACCAACTTGCAATGTATTCCAACAGGAACAGTACCACTGCCTGTATCAAGTTCTGCAAAGATACAGCGATACCACGACCACATACAGCAACTTTGAGAAGAAATCTGAGAAACTAATACAGCATTTAGATAATAATGTTCATGACAATTTTGTGTATGCAAATACTGAATAATCATAACATTCTTATTGCTGGACAATGTCTGTAAATATAACAGTGTGAAACGGGAGTGAATTACAAACGCGACTTTATTTTAAAGTTGTTTCCCATGTTTGTGTGTTAAGTCTACACTACAAGTTCTAGACGAACTATATCGTGAGATACCAATAATTAAATATATCTTCATTATCATAACCCAAACCTGATTTTCATTTTATGTAAAGCTGAAGACTTCTTATCTTAGCCTTTACTAATGTACATAATTATGTACTATAGCTATACCACACTACTCGCAACACTAACATAGACACGGACTTAATACAACTGATATTGATCGTCTTTATTGAAGTTAACATCTGTCATTTTTTGTGATTGATTATGCAGTATCAAATAATCTTTAGATTTTATCATTTTGTTCTCCGTACATGTTTTAAATATAACAAAAAACTGTTGCCCATAACTTCTCATCCATATGTTTGTATTCTACACACTTTATATTACTTTATACAGATGTTTGTTAGAAAAGTATTCTATTAAAAATGTATATAATTACGTTTTATTGAATGTAAGGTGCTTTTAAATAATAAATTAACTTACTTTAGCCTACTTGAGTTTCGTGAGTTTGTCTAAATTATGATCAATCAATAGGGAAAAAAATATTTAAAAAAAAAACTCCAGCAAAATTATACTAAACCCTTACACTTACAATGACTATAATTTAAAAACCAATGCTAAGGTATCTTAGAAAACCCGTAATTATATGTTTTTCTTACATTACTTAAATAGACAGTTCTTTGAGTTAACTCTAGTACTTTATTCTGATATAAACTCGCTCAGACGACACGTCCTGTCTCTGACTCTACCTTTTGTTAACTCCCTAATAGGTACACATCTGCTGCACACCAATGAAGACACAGTGACCACTCAAGGGACGTAACCATGATATACATAATACAACGGACATAATACAAGGGACGTAACAATTACTAACAAGACATAATGCAACGTTCGTCACTAAATAATTTAAAGTGAAATATAAACGTTTAAATAACTAGCGTGAAATCAATTATACATAGTTAATTAAGTCGAACAGGTTAAATCTAAAACACCATTCTCACATGCATCCAATCTACATGCTCTCTATGCTTGTAATGGTTATTTTGATCTACATCAACAGATCTATGTTATAGATATCAATAACACAATATCAACAAGATAGTTTATATTTGCAAATTAATACATGATTGAGATGTGTGTAACACGTTTAGAATATAGTGTTACCATAATACCAAAAAATTATCCGATTCCAGAGCATTAGCTGCTTTACTGTACTGTCATTTCACCGTTGTTGTAATCTGATAGTACGTATGCAATGATGTGTGAAGGCTGTTAGACGTATGCACAGAGAACATTTGTTTTTCACGTGTCTACTTATGTCGGTCTAAAATGACAAACGACCACCTGTTAAACATTTTGTGGTATCAGTTTCTAACCGGGATTTTTGTTTTATGTTTTGTGTTATGAAATACTAAATTTAAGCTGTGTGACCTTTATAAAGCCAACATTTAGGACAAGGTAGCCCGTGAGAGAATATTAAGTGGAGTTGGCCTGTTTCTATGACATGATTGTATGTTCAAATCTTAACCAAATATATTTCCTAATGTTTTACTGCAGACACTTAACGTTAGCAGAAAACAACGGCCTAGATATCAATCAACAGGATTTAAGGTCGTTTGTTTGTTTGTTTTGGTAGTTGAAAAAATAAGATCGCCGTATTCAAAATATGGGATGTTTTTATAGTTTTAGTTCCTTTTTCTTTTTAATTGTCCCAACAGTTTGTGATGTACACAATAATCTTGTTTAAAACAATGCGTTTTTTCTTGTGTTGTTTATTTTAAACAATATCGTACTTTAATTTAATCACGTCTAAGTTGCTTTTTCGAACAACAGAACTATATGGGCACATAGGTCTACATGAGGCTTGTTTGGTCAGCATCCTATTTGTCGCTACATTTCGTTAGGCTCTGGTAACGAATTCGAGACATTTTTTATAAAAAAATCTTGCGTTGTAACGTTTAACCTCGCTAATATATTTTTCAAGAGTCAAGTTCAAAGCTTCCCGTTTAAAAAAATTCCAAGTATAATTACAAAACTGTAACGTTTATTATAGCCAGAGTTAAAAAGTTTTTTAACTACTCGCGGTTTTTGGTAATCAACTTCCGTGTCTTATCTGTATTTTCACAGGCTAACACAGTTTACAGTCCGAAGTGTCCGGATCTATGAAAAATACACACATATAGAGGCAAGTTTCTAACATAATTATATTGATAATGTGCGGCAGAGGCGTAGCGAGGAGGGGGGGGCGGGTTGGACACAATGGGTTTGAAAAACAAATTGAAAGTTTGAGGGGGGGGGGGTGCAAATGAAAAGTTCGAGGGTGGGGTGCAAATCGAAAGTTTGAGGGGAGGTGCAAGTCAAAAGTTCGAGGGGGGTGCAAAAACAAATGGACTGAATTTTGATGGGAAACCCATTGACCTAAAGCGTATTTTACGCTTGTGTAACACAGAAAAGAGTTAGTGACGTTCAAAATCTGCTCTACCATTTTTGTCCAAGATGGTGGGGGGCTTTTTTACCAACAAAAATCGCAGGATTTGTACTGGATCGGTTACTAGATAACTCTTTTAACACTTAGAAAAGATACCAATTGTATTAATTAAGTATATATAAGTATATATATATATATATATATATATATATATAGAGAGAGAGAGAGAGAGAGAGAGAGAGAGAGAGAGAGAGAGAGAGAGAGAGAGAGAGAGAGAGAGAGAGAAAGAGAGAGGAAATATGGTGAGAGAGAGAGAGACAGAGAGAGATCACCGAGTTTTTTTTTAAATTGACTATAAACATGAACTTTCTGGTTGATATAAAATAAACTGTTTTATCCGGTGTTGTTGTGAAGAGAAACGTTTAACACCCTTGTGAAAGGATCTCGTCTGTGTATACATGTATACAGTCAGTCAATACATGATCTATAAGTACCGTGTTATGTTAATTCTTTCTTTCCTACGCTTGTAGTTCACAAACTATTGATCAGTAGCGCATTGCTAATGCGTTGTGTAGTCAATGTGTTAAGAACGTTTTTTACTGTAGCATGTAAGCAATACTGAAATACGTAAGTTGTTATTTCTGTTAATAATAGACTTACATCTTGTATAACTTTTAGTGATTAATTAGTAATGTCTAACTTGATCGGCCAAGTTTTTGCTCTCGAACAGTATTTCCTTTGTTTAAAATTTTCTTTAACTTTGTGTGAAAAAAATGTTCAATTATTAAAATTATCATATTTCGTACATTGGTTTAATGTAAACACTGTTCATTTAACATTTGTATAATTAGTAAGAATAATATGTCATTTATATGACCTAAGCTAATGACATCTCTAAGACAACCCAAATGAAGTTAAGAATTAAAAGTATTGACACAGTGGCGTAGCTACCGTAAAGCTAGCGTAAGCAAGACATAGGGGCCCAAGGCAAATAGGGGCCCTTTTCCCTCTTTTACATTTGAATTTTAATATTTGTTTTATAAAAATAATTTTAAAAAGAAAATGTAAAACCAATTTCTTTTTTATTGTAGAAATAGTCAAAATTAAATAAAAAAGAACCCCCCCTCCCCCAGACCTTACTTACTGTACAGGCAGTGGCATTCATTAGGGGACGGGGGGGGGTCGAACAGACTCCATTGGTATTAATAATACCACAGGCGATGTCGCAAGCCATTGAGAGAATTATCTTATAAATTATCTTGAACTTAGACTCTTTTGTGAGATATGGCATCAGTCACCAGTATATTAACACACGTCGCTACAAACCTCAACTTACTGGGAAATTCTCTATCCCACCCTCCACCCCCCCTTACAAACCTGCACCCCCCTCTTTCTCAACTGTCTGTCCTCACGAAATTCCATCTATCCTAGATTAAATTTAGACATTATTTTCCATAACAGCTGTCGACAAATTTTTTAACAACAAGCTAAGTCGAAAATTTGTCACTGTTTTGCTACTAGTTTAACCTTAATCACAATTTGTCTGTTGATCTAATTTATCTTTTATCAATATGCCTCTACTTAAAGATTTTTGTTTGTCTGTCTGCTGGTCCTTTAAGCTTTAACCAAAACAGATCCAATCGCCATGGAACATTGGGAAGTCGTTTAGAATAATTTAGACAAATCTCTACTGACCGTGAAATTTCCTACCCCAACCCCACACATGATGAGCAGTGCCCCCTTTCCCTCCCCCACCCCCCACGAAGAGTAGGCAGAAAGTAACTCAACTCTGTCTCCTGTAAAGTTTTCTGCCATTAATGTTTTTATATTTCGTTCGGAGGGCAGCGCTCTGGCAGTAAGGCGTGTCAGCTGACTGGGCGTCCTGCACGCTTTTCATCCGTAGGTTCTCACCAGGCTTGTCTTCCCCACCCACCAGATGCGGGACGCCGTGTCCTACCACCTGGTAAACAGCTTGACCATGGGGGGTGGGGGAGTGGGAAGGTTCGGATCTACGGAAAACTACTGTAATTGATAAATTAAAGGGTGTCTTCAAGCGCCTCCGCGGTAATAACCTATAATGTAGGGCACCCCGAGTCTCTCAATTATGATGATGTTATGAAACAAGTTGTAGATATGCCCTTTGGGTCAGTAACTTTGCCATCTTAAGCAAACTGCTAAAATGGACCTCAAGGTACTTATTAATCATTTTGCAACTTGAAAGAAAAAAAAATCTAAATAAATCATGAACGACGTTTTAAAAATTTGTGTTTGGTTAATGTCGTCACAAGGTTCATTACCACCCTTTGTGTTTAGTAAGTGTAACCCCCACCACCACCCCACGGACAATTTTGCATTTCCGGTGGAGTGTAACCCCCTCTCCTTAATATTTTATTATTTTAACTGGATAAAACAAAGTTTTGAATGTAAAATTCACGAGTTTTCTTCCTGGTGTCATGCGTAAAATGTGATATCTCCGCCTCCACCTTGTGTCCCTGGTGTTGGTTTAATGTCACATGCTTACAGTGAATTTCTTAGTTTGTTTTTACATAAAAGTGATATAAATCAAACGTATTTTACGTTACGGGGTACTAAAATCAATACCGTTAAAATACACAATTAGGACGTATAAAATACACAATTTACAGACTGACGAAGGGGCCCAAGGATAATTTTTGCATAGGGGCCCACAATTCCTAGCTACGCCACTGTATTGACAGCTCAAATACCTCAAAGTAATGGCTGTTTAAAGATTTAAATGAAATTAAAACTCCAAGGCATAAACGAAATTACTGCTCAAAGACCTCAACAGTATGACAGCTCAAAGACCTCAACAGTATGACGCTCAGCTCAAAGACCTCAACAGTATGACGGCTCAAAGACCTCGACTGTATGACAGCTCAAAGACCTCAACAGTATGACAGCTCAAAGACCTCAAAAGTATTACAGCTTAAAGACCGAAACAGAATGACAGTTCAAAGACCTAAACAGTAGGACAGCTCAAAGACCTAAACATTATGACAGCTCAAAGACCGCAACAGTATGACAGCTCAAAGACCTCAAGGGTATGACAGTTCAAAGACCTCGACTGTATTACAGCTCAAATACCTAAACAGTATGACAGCTTAAAGACCGCAACAGTAATCAACAACAGCTCCATCACTTAACGTAATGACAGCTTAAACAACTAGCTTTCTTTCAGGCATTTTTTTCCGATAGTAGGATCAGGGCACTTGAAACTACCGGAAAGTCGCATTTAAAAATGTGGTAGATGGTTGAGTGGACACTTGTTTATAGCTTCTCTATATCTATAAACGCAAAGTGAAGGTTGTTTGTTTCTTGAAACTACTAGATTGTGTATTTGATTGAAAAGTATTAGACAAATTACCCTTGACAAAGATTTCAATAATCTCGTTCAAAGTGTCCGGAAAACTGACCTAGACTAAATGCGGCCTTAAATAAACTATACATTTTTAATTTGCTTGAATCAGATCAAACACTTAAAGATGCGACACAAATGTAATGTTTTGTAAGGAGATGGCTTTGATGCATTAAATACCTGAAGAAATAACAGATTATCAGAAATATCATTTTACGGGGTTCAAAATTGATCTCTTATAAAACTGAAATTTTTCTATAAAAGCATTTACTTTAAAAAACATAAACCATTTTCTTTGATTACACGCAAAACAACAAACAAAACATTTTGAAAAATAAAAATTCCTTTAAAGTGTATACTATACTGTTATCAAATTGTTGTGAAAATAAATTCATAATGGCTAACAAATATTATTATTAAATACATTTAAATTGTAGATGGTTTAAAGCAACACCAGAACGCATTATATCTGAGATCAGTGACAAAGAAATCATGGACAGGAAGTGGGCTCAACTTCAAATTGTTCTTCTTTTAGTCTATAATGCTTATGGTGCAGATTCAAGTACGTAGACATTAAATCAAAGAAAAATTAGTGTTAAAGTAATGGTGATAAAAATAGGTCTTAATATGAATAGCCATTTACTTGTTTTATGAAGTCAGTAATCTACATAAGTTGCTACCTTTTCTAAAATTGTTACACCTAAACGTATTTTAGCATGCATAGACAAAGGCTGGTTTGGTACTTCATGCCAATACAAGTGCCACTGCATTGGTGATAAGTGTGATGGCGCAACTGGTGTATGTGTAGATGGAACCAATTGTGTGAAAGGCTGGTTCGGACCAAGCTGTCAATACCGTAAGTTAGACATGACGTGTTTTCTTAATTTTCATACAATGCGAGAGGGGGGTACATATGTCCTCGGGCGCCGACCTTAGGGGGCGTCAAAATGGGTTGGAAAAACAAATTATAGTTTGAGGGGGGTCGCAAATCGAAAGTTTGAGAGGGGGGATGCAAATCGAAAGTTTAACGGGGGTGCAAATCAAACGTTTGACGGCGGAGGGGGTACAAATCGAAAATCGAAAATTTGCTCCATTGGGGGCGCCAAATTGAAAGTTTGTCCCCGAGCACCGGGGAGGGTTGCTACGCCTCTGATACAATGTCAGTGACTTTACATAGTCGATTGGTAGTTGATATAATGTAGCCCGTAAAATTAGTCGTGCGAGTCAAGAAATCATTCTTAGTACACAATCTCTATTGAATATACCTTTTCACTGGTCACATTAATAATATGTTAGCTAGTGTACTGACTAATCAGGTACTAGCAGTAGGAACTTGCATTATTTTACTAAGTATTATTAAGAACACTTTTATTAGGAAAATTATAACACAAAACCAAGCATATATATATATATACATATATATATATATATATATATATATATATATAAATATATATATATATATATATATATATATATATATATATATTCTGTTATGATGTTTGGCAACAGAAGACTTAGCCACGGAACCAACGTTCCGGTCACAAACTGCTGTAAGTAAACTAACAGACAATGATGATGGAACCTGTGACGACCAGGCCAGGACTTCTGTAAATCTCCAATGGTCGATAAAATACAAAATCTCCTGGATTAGGATTGTATATCGTGCTTCAGGTTTGTTGCTTCGTAGATGATGTTTATACTTTTATACTTATTGTAATGTTATAAAATGTATTCTGTAGTAAAACAACGCTCCATTACTTTTAAAGTGTCAAAAAAATGTTAAAATTAAAGTGAATATTTTACATTTTTTTTAATTAACACAGATGAATTAATTAGATACGATATGAATTACTGAATAAGTATTATATTAATAATTTATTAATTGCTATCAATGGAAGAGAATACTACTGATTATAAACGATAGGTTATTCGACTCCAAACTATATTATATTTTTTCTCTAAAACGAGTTACCATGTAGTACTTTCAAATAGGTATATACGGTCATTACCCGTGATCAAGATTTTAAAACAATGTTCTTAAATTTTTGAAAACGTATAGAATTGCTAAAGGATATTTACCTAAAGATGGGGAATGATACGTGTGAAATGCCTAACATATCTATTGTGGACAATCAAACCACTGACATGTATTGTACATTGGGAGATATTTACGATAATATCAATGTATCATGGACTGGACAGATTTCTGTTTGCTCAATTTATGTAAATGGGGGTAAGTAATAAGAAAATATAAACACAAATTATTTTTAAAAAAAACATGTTTAATATATTTTAAACTATATATATATATATATATATATATATATATATATATATATATATGTGTGTGTATATGTGTGTTCGTGTATGCAGAGGCGTAGCGACCCTATCCGGCGCCCGAGGACAAACTTTCGATTTGCACCCCCCCCCCTTGAACTTTTCATTTGCACCCCCCCCCCCCCTCAAACTTTCGATTTGCACCTCCCCCCTAAAACTTTCAATTTGGCGCCCCCCCCCCCCCCCCCCAAGGTCGGCGCCCAGGGAAATATGTTCCTCTCCATCGCTACGCCTCTGCGTGTATGTGTGTATGTGGGCATGCTTGCGTATAAGAATATATACTATAATCTTTAGGTCGTAATGTAGCCTTAAGACAAGCAGCTGTCCAGTCAAGCAACTATTCAGGTACTGATATAAGCGGTGTAAAAGACATACAGGCTAGCAATGCTGTCGACGGGAACACCAATAACGAATTTACTGCAGATTCCTGCACTCACACGAACGACCCTAAACCACAGTGGAATGTCACTTTTTCATTCCCTCAGATGGTGAGCCGATATGTTTTATACAACAGGAGTGAGTACCTTTTCTTATTTTGTATTTAATAATAACGCTAGTGGATACCCAACAGACCTTTCTATTCATATTATATTGATTTCCAGTAGATATATCCCTGTTTTATTTAAAATGAAAAAATGTACTTAACTGTTTTTTCAGATAATAATCAAGATAGGCTTAAGAGATTTAAACTACAAAGCTACTCTGCCAATAATTCTTTAGTGTTTGACTATACCGAAGGTGGCTACGTTTTACCTATATACACTGTAACTACTGTTGGGAAAGAAGTATCAAAGGTTACAATAAATGCAACACAAATATTGACATTATGTGAAGTAGAAATTTACGGAGGTATGAGCTTGATGAAAGTTAATTATAGCAAACGTACACAAATAGATATATATATAAATATATATATATATATATATATATATAATAAACGTGCTAAATATATTATTAAAAAGTGCATGCGTAATGCTGAAGGTAGGATGCTTGAATGTTGATGCAGATAAAAAACAGTAATTGCTCTGATCGTAGACTTATGCTTTGCAAAGCGAAGACAGGAATATCTGGTAGTGACCTTTTGAACACATGAAATTATTTAGTTTAATTTAAATTAATCCGCTGTTTAAAAAAAGGACAATTATGTGTATATAGTGTAGAATTACCACAGGTGTGGAATTATTATAATTGTTCAAATGGTTTTTATAAAATGTGCCCATTGTTTTTACGTGTATGTTGTTTGATTTCTAAGCATTTATACTCCCCTTCCATATAAAACGCACCAATTAAAATAAACAATGTAACAGAACGCATCTGTACCCCTGGATATTTTGGACTAGACTGTGACCAACAATGCCGCTGTAGCGACACATCTGAGACTTGCATGTCTATCACTGGTGGATGTTTATCTGGGTGTTGGTCTGGTTACTATGGCCAGGGTTGTCAGATGGGTGAGTATTAAAGTACATGTAAATAAAAATGTTATTTTCTAAATCTTGATGTAATTAAAGTTTTAAAAACTGGTCTTTAGATGTTAGACTACTATATTTTAGAGTTTATTACTTTTGTCAATATATATATATATATACATATATATATATATATATATATATATATATATATATATATATATATATATGAATATATATATATATATGAAAATATGGTTAAAATATAATATATGATTTTTATAATGATTTGTTAACAAAATCAAAGGTTTTTCTATTGAAATAATTCGTTAAAGTTCTTAAAAGTGTGTACAATATTGTAATTTAATTGTTTTTGTTATACCACTAAGTATACTATCGACTTTATTAAAATCAAATTGAATGCAAAATATAAAACTTTAACTGTTTAAAATAAACTTAAATATCTAATTACGAGTATCATTTTAAAAATTTAGAATTACTAAAAATAAAGAGTATTAAATAAACCGAACATTAAAAAGAAAAATAATATTTCATAATAAAGTTTTAAATGCACCGAACATTACAAAGCAAATTTTCTTTCTTTAATAAAAGAACTGGTCGCTCATTAACTATCGTATACATTTTAGCAAACTACCATTGGATATTTATATTTGCTTTATTAATATAAATAGGTGGTTGACAAACCATAAGGTAATAGTACGACTACTGTTTAACTAGAGTTTGATTTCCTTACAATGCAGAATGTCCACCAACAAGATGGGGCGTTGATTGTCTCAAGACTTGCAGCCTTTTCTGCTTTAGCCCTCAAGCTTGTAATAGGAGAGATGGTTCGTGTGACGGAGGATGTGTGGCTGGGTACGGTGGTTCTACATGCATTGATGGTAATGACGATTTCAAAAACTAACGTTTATATATATATATATATATATATATATATATATATATATATATATATATATATATATATATATATATATATATATATATATATATATATATATATTCATAAACATATAATACAAAGAAAAATAAAGTATGACATTTTAGAATGCCCAGTAGAAAGATGGGGAGAGAACTGTGCTAAAATGTGCAGTTCGAAATGTGCTAACGATAGTGCGTGCGACAGACGAACCGGCAATTGCGCCACAGGCTGCAGTTCTGGCTACCTCGGCGACAGGTGTGATCAGGGTAAGCAAACAATAGTGCACTAGATTGTAAAATATGACGAGGGATAGATACCTTGCTAAAAAAAGTAATCATTTACTTTTTTTTAAAGTAAAAGTGTGTTCATTTACATCAGGGGTCTCCAAACTACGGCCCGCGGGCCGAATGCGGCCCGCAAGGTCCTCTCATCCGGCCCGCGGAGATCTTTTTGTCCACTGAAAAAATGTCTGTTAGAGGTGGCTGAGGAACTTTGCCCAGAAAATTAAAAACTATTTGAAAATGTAGCTTTGGATGCTTTGCCCACCGTGTTGCAGACATTGGTGAAAACATTGTGACTCAAATAGCGAAAAATGCAATACGTGAAGAATTTGAGAGCAAACATGGAGCTCGAGTGTGTTGTTGGCCCCCAACAGTGTTTCTTTCAGATTTTTTTCTCTGGCGGGGGGAGGGGGGGGGAAGGGCACTTGAAATTTCTATATAAATTATATTTTGTTGGGGGGGGGGGGGTGGGGGGGCGGTGGCCTTTTTTCGGCGGGGGCGGGGGGGGGGGGCTCCATAACACCGAAGATACGCCTTGAAAAAACTCTGGCCCCCGAACTGATATTTGATAGTCAATGCGGCCCTCGGTCTGAAAAGTTTGGAGACCCCTGATTTATATCAATTGTAGTAGATCAATTTTGTGTAGGCCTTCCAGGCGTGTTTTAGTTTTAAAAACACGAAATTCTATATTTGATAGAATGTGACAATTTGACCTTTGGCCTGAATTGTCTGGAGAACTGTTCCATCAATTGTGGTGGGGATGGAAAATGTGACATTGTTAGCGGCTATTGTTTGCAAGGATGCAAGTCTAAATATGGCGGTCACGTGTGTGATCAACGTGAGTTAAGTTTTTGATTAACACACCTTGCTAATATAGAGACTTTCAGCATAGATAGTTTCGTCAAATACTTTCAAACCATCTGTTACTGTTTCTACTATTTAAATTCCAAAGTTATTCTAAAGATTGCAAAATTAAAAGAAACATTTATTTCGCTTCGTCGTCCCGTTACTTCTCTAATAATAGGTATTCTCAATAAACGTATTAAATATAACATACGTACAAGATATGTATTATATTGCAGTAATCCAGGAGAATTCAACTGAAGCTGTTGTTATCATCATTCCTGTAGTTCTGGTGGCTATTGTTACGTGTTTGGTTATCGCAGCTATTGTTATATTTTTACGGTAAAATCTTAGTTTTATATATATACATATATATATATATTATATATACATCTTAATATATATATATATATATATATATATATAAATATATATATATATATAAATAAATAAATAAAAAAAAAAAATATATATATATATTTATTTATATATGTATATATAAATATAAATATAAATATATATATATATATATATATATATATATATATATATACATCTTAATATATATATATATATATATATATATATATATATATATATATATATATATATATATATATATATATATATATATAAATATAATTATATATATATATAATATATATATATATATATATATATATATATATATATATATATATATATATATATATATATATACATATATATATATTACACACGAGTGATTTAACTATAGTTTACACATTTTTACTTTTAAAAGTCGCCGACAATCTAAAAAAGAATATGCTGAATCACTGGATACAATACTTGACAATTCTCGATGTTTGGAGTCCACACAATTGGCAGGTACAGTATTTACATATATGAACATTAATTTTGTTAAACAATTTCATATCTTTAATTCTTAAAAAAAATTGCCTTGTTATTATCTGTAACATGTATATTTTTAATATTTATAAAATTGTATATAATCGTTATACAACCTGTAGATGCCAAAGTATTGAATGAAGCCAACAATGAAAATATATATCTGGTCCCTGAATCTGATGACGGATCTATTGCCGTTCATCAGTTGGCTGACTTCATGCAAACACACGACAGACGATATTTCGATGAACAATTCAAGGTTATTATTCTGATTAATTATATTCAATATCATATTCTAGTCATAGATTAAGGCAGTTGTAACACAAATCTAATACCAAACGATCCATGTATTTATTTGGCATTTACTCAATTGCTTGATAGGAAGATTTTTTTTAACGAGACGACAAAGTAAGATATATATTAGCTTAAGTACTTGCGAACAATGTATTTAGTCAATACATGCCTTAAGTTTTTCCTCACTCCAGAATATACCAGCACCTGAAAAAGTCTCCACAACGATTGGTCTGAGCCAAAAGAACAAGCACAAAAACAGATACAAGAATATTTGTACATGTATGTTCTATACATTATATTTATACTGACATCTGAACATGTAGGCTTTTAATGTGCTAAAATGCTTGTTCGTACAATTTTCATTTATCATTAATATGTATTTTAAAGCTTGTATTTACAGATGATCATTCTAGAGTTCATTTAGACATCACGGAAGTAAACAATGAAGATGACTACATAAATGCCTCTTACATTCAGGTAGTTCAGAATTTTAAAATATCCTTAACTCAATTTAGTCTCTCAATTCATGAGTACATTAAATAATTTTTCTGTATTTTAGGGATTCAACGATGAGGAAAAATTCATTGCGTCGCAAGGTATAATTTAAATTGTGTCTCAATGTTTAACAAATTCACTATTAACTTTCCTTTTTAGATTATCTGACACTAAGTTTTCTACAACTGTAATGTCAACGTTTATGTTCTTTATACTTATACATGTATTTTTATAATACTTTAAAAATATTTCTTCAATGCATAAGGACAAATATTGTATTCAACATTGTTTTAATTCCTTGTGGCAAATAAGAAACATTTCCACCGGGCAAGGTTTTAGACAGCTCACAAGTTAAAAGTTTAAAAATAATACAATTTATATATATATATATATATATATATATATATATATATATATATATATATATATATATATATATATATATATATATATATATATATATATTTATATATATTACAATAGACATAACCTTCGTGCGTTTTTATATAGGACCCAACAGTATTATTATCAACGATTTTGTACGAATGTTATGGGAACAAAAAGCGGATAAAGTTGTCATGTTGACTAATTTGATAGAGGAAGGAAAGGTTTGTTGGTAGCTGTTGTTGTGATTTCTACCATTATTTGTCACAGAAGAATACAATTTTTCTTAAGAAAAGAAACATTATATATATATATATATATATATATATATATATATATATATATATATATATATATATATATATATATACATATTAAATAATGTGTGGTTATGCAACTATATATGTATATATTCAGGTCAAGTGCGACCAGTACTGGCCAGAAGATGGGAAGATGATGTTTGGAGATATTAAAGTCAAACTGGCTGTCACACATGTGTTTGCTGATTACACGATCAGAAGATTACTGTTAAGTAAGGTAATAACATTAAAACACTACATCCCCACTAATTGAAACTATGCTGATTTTGCAAAGTCGTAAATTATAGATAATTATATCCATTGTTTAGCCGTTTTTTACTTTCTCGTATAAACGAAGTATAGAGAAAGTCTTGTAATCGTGCAAAAAAAAAATCGAGATTTTTACAAATCTCGACGTTTTACACCTCACTGATACGGAAAAACATAATTTTGCAATCTTGTCCGTATGTCTGTGTGTCTGTCTCTGTGTGTGTGTCTGTCTGTCTGTGTGTAAACACGATAACTTGAGTACCGTTACAGCTAGGTTGATGAAATTTCATATATAAGTATTTTATCAAAATTGTAGATCCTGATCAACTTTTTAGCGATTTCCGACAACCAGAAGTGGTACTTTTTCTACTTTGAATTTTTCAAAAGCCTATAAATTGAGTATTATTTCAGATAGATAAATGAAATTTCACATGTAAGTAAAAGATCTAATTCTCTACCTTCTGTCAAATTTTGTAATTTCCGTTGACCGGAAGTACTAATTTGCGCTATTTCCGATTTCTCAAAAAACGCATGTAAATTTTTAAAGTACTAATACTATTCTTTTTTCTATGAGATTCTATTCTGTTTTTAAAAGTTTAAGTTATTAAAAATCATGTCTATATTCCAAGTTATATAAGAATATTCGAGAAAGTTTAGGGGAGATCACTCCCGGTTTATTTAACTTTGGATTGGAATTGAAGTGTAAATAGAAAGCACTCTTTAAAAAATTAATAACACTATTAAAACCCCAGAAAGGCACGGACGTCCAACAGGTGACCCAGTTCCACTTCACGTCATGGCCGGACAAGGGCGTGCCCATAACTCCCTGGGCATTGGTGGACTTTGAGCAGAGGGTGGCCTTCAACCCCACCAGTAGACCTGTGGTCGTCCACTGCAGGTAGGCTTGCTGGCTACTAAAAAAAACAATATCTGCTTCGATTATTATGGCATACCTATTTATGGACATTTGCAGAGCCCGGCATTCCGCGTAAGCTTGGACTGCACACGTTAAATGTAACAAATACATACCTACTCTGGCATATACAAGTTTCACGTTTAAACTAATGTGACATGCAAATTTAATTTTAGCACAGGTGTTGGCCGTACATGGAAATGTATCGCTCTGAGAAATGTTTTAGTTCTGTTAATGTCCTATTAATTACTGCCGTGATTTTAGCGCTGGTGTTGGCCGTACAGGGACATTTATCGCACTGAGAAATGTGATGAGAGAAGCTGAGGAGACTGGACGTGTTAATTTCTTACAGACAGTCGCCAGGCTAAGACAGGACAGGATGAATATGGTACAAACATCGGTAGGTGGAAGGGGCTTTTGGGCTAGGTTAAATGGGCTTTTACAATAGCCAGCACTGGAATAATGAATGTTTTAGTTCCAATCTACTGTGTAGATTATTTAAGATAAACAATTTAATTTAGACTTTTGTATGAATTTAAGTTTCAACATTAAAATAGTTTATAGAAAATTTAATGCCTTCGTGTTTTGTTAGGAACAATATGAATTTCTCCACAAAACCGCACAAGTAGCAATAACATGTATATGTACCACAATCACAGCCTATGATGTTGACGTGAAGGTTCAACATCTTCTGGACAAATCTGTGTCGGGGAAAACTAATCTGGAGAATGAATTCAAGGTAAGCCACGAGTGTAATGTACGTTAATGAGCGAGATTTACAATTAGTCCATCTGTATAGAAAATATGAAAGCATGTATTTTTATACCAAGTCGGTGTGTGCTGTAAGCGCTGACTTACAGACAGCTGGTAAAGAAGAAGAAAAAGAATTGAAGGTTTACGAAAACAACCAAGATGTGGACTTGATGAGGAAAAACCGGTGCCCAGAGATCATGCCGAGTATGTACTTTGTATAGTTAAAAATATGTGAACAAACGCAACAAATAGTGAAATGTTTGAGTAATCTAGCTTTGTTAAAGTTACTTTTAATAGTCCAGAATATGTATTTTCGACAAAATGCTAAAATATAATGAAAAATAAAAATAGTTTAATTTCAAAAAGCGTCAGTTATTGAAGTGTGTACCTATGCATATGTTTACAGATCACTTGTACCAAGCTAAGTTGTCTAGAAGCAGATCAGAAGACAGCGACTACATCAACGCCGTTGTCTTTCCTGTAAGTTTTTTTTTAACCGAATACTAATACGATTTGAAAACATGATTTAATTGTATTATTTTTTTAAAAAACATTTTAGAACACATTGTTTTATTTTAACTCTCTATCAGAGCTTCACCAAACTTGACCATCAACAAATTATAAAATCTTTGTTTTAATTCCACCTGACCATCAGAGCTTCACCAAACTTGACCATCAACAAATTATAAAATCTTTGTTTTAATTCCACCTGACCATCAGAGCTTCACCAAACTTGACCATCAACTGCTGACACAACTGCCCCTGCCAACAACTGTGGAAGACTTCTGGAGGCTGATTGTTGAGTACAACGTCACGTTGGTGGTGGTGTTTGATGTGGGACTTGTGCTACACGACAATGTATTAATTCGTTTTTCAGCTTTAATGTTTAGTAAAACAAGTATTTCATTAATGACAATGCATTCACACAAAACTCTGGGAATTATGTTTCAGAAAGTGTGTTTCATACACACGTTTTGTTATGCGAACAATATAATATATATCTGTAAAATTTGGTAGTAGTGAGTTCATCACACAGTTACTATAGAAGCATTTTTAGAAACGCGGGATATAATATCCTTTTTTCCCCGTATATTTAGATAAATTAGAGCTCATTTGTTTCAATGACCTCGGCATACATAGGGATAACGTGATTGGCACTATGTCCAGTCGCGTTTGTTTCCCTCTCGTGGGTAAGGTACACATCAGAGCTGGGTGGACTCCGGATTCGGATTCGAGACTTTCAAGCAAGAAGTATATCGCTCTACCTCTCTGATTGTAGACTTAAAATGTGTTAATATTTATAAAAATATAAAGTCGTTGTTGGAGATTCATTAAATATCGGACATTATTCTAGACATTAGGTCACTATCTGCCAGCATCAGTCAATGAGATGTTGAACATCAGAGACTACACAGTGGAGCTCAAGTCAAGCAACACACACACATTATGGGAGGAAAAAACTGTTGTCGTTAGAACTATGGGACCTCTACAGCTGAAGTCATTCAATGTAAGCTCAAGTAATGAGGACATCTATAATGTTAACTAAAGTATACTTTATTGTGTGAACATACGGTGTTTTATTTTTAAGACAGTAACAATCCTGTCATGTTGCAGACACAAGACGGTCACACTGTTCTACATCTACAAAGTAAACTCACCACACTGGACACAAAGACGTTGCTGCAGTTTATAAAACAAACAAGAAAACACTCAAACAAGAAAGGGAGGGTGATATACATGTGCAGGTATGCATTTAGAAATAAATTTTTATGTTTACAATGGTTTTATTTGAGTTTTAACAGTAACTTAGTAATTTTCTAGCTTACTCTAACACGATGTATGAAACCTTTAATTTTACAGGTAAAACAATTTAAAATTTATCCCGCATTTTGCGTCGGCTAAAATTTATATTTTAAGAATTTAACTTATAATAAATCTCTACTGTAAAATAAAATAAATTATTCGGTTATTTAATTAATGATGAATGATTCCATGATCAGAGATGGGGCCACCTACAGCGGTCTTGTCTGTGTTTTGAACCTCCTACTAGACAGGATGGACAATGACCTACGGCTAACTGTGCCATTAGTTGTTGGAGCGGTCAAGTCCATTCGACCACAGGTCATTCCTACACTGGTGAGTTTTGTTACCAATGTATTGTTTAATGTAACGAAGTGATTCGGTTCACTGCTACTGTAATGCAGAAAGTCTCTATTACATTACTGCGATAGTTATTTGCTGTGCAGCAAAACATTTTAAAAAGTTGATTACTTACGTTCAACTTTTATTTCAAGTCTATCAACTCTTCTATTCTCATTTCCTTTTCTTCCTATTTTATTTTCACCATATTATTCTGTGTAGAATTTTTGTAATGACATTACTCTATTTTTTACTTAACTTGCAATGTATTCCAACAGGAACAGTACCACTGCCTGTATCAAGTTCTGCAAAGATACAGCCATACGACGACCACATACAGCAACTTTGAGAAGAAATCAGGAAAATGTGTAGAGCATTTAGATAATAATGTTGATGACAATGTACTGTATGCAAACACTGAGTAATCATAACATTTACATAGCTGGACATGTCGTTATGTATTTGATGTTAACCAGGGGAAGTAATACTGTAAACGTTACTGATTTCGTTATTTTCAGGTTGTTCCCCTTGTTATACCTGAACCCTTAACACTATAAGTGCCAGGAAATATCCATACAAAACATAATAAAATACATCTTCACCATCGTGGCCTAAACAATACTTTTATATTTTATAATACTGATGATTTGTTATTTTATCGATTACTAATTATCAAATTTATATATTTTAACTGTTATAATTATAAACAAATGAGTCGTGGGGAGGGGGATGTCTTTATTGCAGTATTTTTTTATTTATTTTTTATTTATTTTAAAACAGTTATTGTGTATTGCTTTAAAAGAAATGTCTACACACGGTAATAATGTACACACTTCATATTATTTTATTCAACTAATTGTTAGTAAAATACTCTGTTTAAATCTTTTTTTTTATTTTATTAAATTACAAATGCATTTAAAATATAATTTTACTTATTTTATTTTAGCCTTGTCAATTTGTCTGAACGATAACTAAACATCCGAGTTTTCAATTCAAATAGAATAATTGTTATTATAGACTTTCAAATTTACCATGATGTTAATTTTTAGTTTTGTGTCGCTGTAATTTAGGTGTTCTAGCATTCAGTTGCAGTAATTAAAAAAAAATATTCAATTGAAAATTCGGATGTTTAAAATTAGGGTAAACTTTGTTTCATGTAAACTTCCATTGTCACGTGTACTCTTACTACATGATATTTCTTATATATATTTTTTAAGGTGTTTCACATCTATATATTCTAGACTTCTGCCTACAAGTTATTGTTGCAAAATTAAAAAAATTAAAAAATAATGCATTAGTTTATATTTGTAAATTAGTTGCACTGTTTAAAATCCATACATAACACGTATGATATTAATGTTTTGTTATAATACCCAACAGATGCCCGGTTACAGTACCATTGCGGTTACACAACATGGTCGTTTCCGGTAAACCCGTACGTTGTAATCTGATAAGACGTATGACATGTCTTGGGAAGACTTGTGTAAATCGAACATTGGTTTTTCACGCGTCTGCCTGTGTCAGCTTACAATGATAAACGACTACCTGTAAAACATCTCGTGTTATCAATATATAACCGGTATTTCTGGTTTAGGTGTTGACTTACAATAATCCATTCATAAGCTGTGTGACATTCTAAATGTATCCGCATAGGATTGGAGGTACAGTGGGCAGCTGATGTAGACTTATCATGTCTATCTGCGAAGTACTGTAAGCTAAGTAATTTACATAGCATCCATGTGCAACTGCTTGAGGTGTGAGTGAAAAACAAATAACGATATGAAAATAAAACAATCAACCAGATTTGAATAGGTTTAGTTATACTGGTAGATGGAAAAAAACATCACATTAATAAAAACATGAAGGAGCTTCATTTGCTTTAGTTCCTTATTATTATGTATTTATACAATCAATTCGTGTTGTAATAAAAACTCATTCTTCATTTTTACTTTCTCGTATACGAAGTTTTGTAATCGTGCATAAAAATCAAAATCGAGATTTTCACAAATCTCGACATTTTACATCTCCTTCATTCGGAAAAGCTTAGCTTTGAATTTTGTCCTTATGCCTGTGTGTGTGTGTGTGTGTGTGTATCTCTCTATATGTGTGTATGGGTGTGTGAACACGATAGATTTAATATCGTTACAGCTAGGTTGATGAAATTTCATATATATATATATATATCAGGGGCGTAGCGAGGGGGGGCGGGGGGTGCGGACCGCACCGGGTGACACCATTTAGGGGGGTGACACCAAGGCAAAAAATAGCAAAATATATAGAGAAAAACTTGAGGGGGGGGTGCAAATCGAAAGTTTGAGGGGGGGGGGGGTGCAAATCAAAAACTTGAGGGGGGGTGCAAATCGAAAGTTTTGAGGGGGGGGGGGGGTGCAAATCGAAAACTTGAAAGTTTGTCCCCGGGAAGGGTCGCAGCGCCTCTGGGGGGGGGGGGGGGGGGTGACACCATTAAGTGCCGCACCGGGTGCCACCCGACCTCGCTACGCCACTGATATATATATATATATATATATATATATATATATATATATATATATATATATATATATATATATATATATATATATATATACATATTTATATATATATATATATATATATATATATATATATATGTGTGTGTGTGTGTTATATCAAATGTGTAGTTATGTTTCAACTTTAAAGCGATTTCCGGTAAAGTGGAACTTAGTCTACTTTTAGTTTTTCAAAGGCCTACAACTTGAATACATTTTCAGATAGATAAACGATATTTCACATATAAGTAGAATATCTTATTATCTGCCTTCTTTCAAATTTTGAGTCACTTTACGCTCTTTCCGATTTCTCAAAACAAAAACTATTATACACATTTTGTTTGCTTTTTCTGTACGAGATTCTATTTAATTTAACAACGTTTAAGTAATTTAAAATGAATTAAAAATCATGTCTATATTATCTCGAGTTGCAATCACCCATAGTGTTATTTTAGAGTATTCGAGAAAGTTTAGTCTAGCAAGAGTTAAGGGATACTCAACGTCTTGAGATGTGGTGTGATTTCCTTCCGTGTCAGCGCTAATCTAGCTCATACTTGGGCTAACCCCTTTTACGTGCGAGTTCATACTTTTCTCCCATCTATAACGGACATATAGGTTCTAAATTGTTTTAAAGGATATGTATATATACTATTTGACTCACACGATGATTCAGAATTGTTTAGCGTTGATTATCATAAGTTGGAGGGGACTCGGGAGTACTTTAAAATATTTTGAACATTTGAACTTTTATTGAAGCACCTAACGTAAATGTAGGATATTTTGGGAAGGAAAAATGGGTTTTAGTATCAGGTAAGCTGCTGATACCTCGATACCATTTGATGCTAAAAATAGACACAGATATGCCCTTTAGGCGGATGTAATTTCAGACCAATAATTCAATGACTGTGTAGTCAATACAACAGGAGAACTCTCGGGTCATAGGATTCATAAAAAAAAATTGGCATTACGTGGTTTGTTTATGAAATTTGTTATTGAAATAGAATTTCATGGTTTAAGGAATTAGATTTTTAATTTTAAAAGATTCATCAATATATAATATATTATGTCATCTACATAACGCGATACTTAAATGTGGGATATGCTTTTAATAGGTATACGTGTATTTGTAAACATGCTCAAATCAACTTGGCGACTAAACGTTTATACGTTTTTTTGTTTATGAAATACACTTGTTATATGCTTAAACCTTTTAAAGCACGGCATGTAAGAGACAATACAATTTTTATGCAACAAACTATAACAGAGATGAGAACAATCGAATCTTCTTTTTGATGAAAACAAACGTTTAATTTAATTACAACCAGCTTTTTCTCAAACGTTTTGAATATAATGCACATTTTAATAGGTATCAGTTTAAACAACGTCGCATGTTTTGTTACACGTCGATTACGTAATATAGCTGTGATGACAGTGTTTTCTTCCCCTCAGTTTGAATAAACTATTCAGGAAATACGAATTTGGTACTTGCTATATTTTTTCGAATGATTTTTTATAATACTGTAGGTTGAAAAATACATACATATCTACACACACACACATACACACACAAACAAACACACGCACGGACAAACACGCACACACACACATATTTATATATTTATATATATACATACATATATATATATATATATATATATATATATATATATATATATATATATATATATATATATATATATATATAGGTATGTACATATGTATGTTTATGTGTATATATAGGCTTACATCTGAAGTGCATTTCTATGATCAACTGTATTAACAAGTGATTTACGTAGTGGTGGATAAGATGACTTTAAGAATGAACTTCCTGGTGGTTACCAAATACGCCTTGTATTTGTATACACAGTTAAGGGTCGAGTAAAAAAAATCTCCCCTTATCAGATATTTACATTATATCCGGTTAACATGGAGAAATATGTAACGTGTTATGTTGAAACTCTCAATCTTACTGTGTGTGCTTCATACAAGTCAGTTGATAACTGATTGTGATGCCAACACAGTGTGCTATTAAATGTTGTAAAACTTACAGTAAAGTGGACGTATTCAATTTATTTTATGTAATTTGTACTTACAGTTGATTACTAAACGTGCGTGTAATAGTTGAAACGAATATAATTTGTTTCTTGACGTGCTTACTCATTTTTTTTTATGATCGGTTTTGCTTCCTGACGTTCAATTCTAAAAATGCCACAATAAGCGGACGTTGTCATTGCGTCTTTAGCACGTAAAGAACACTTTAACCATTTTTAACGAGCATCAAAAGAAACAGGCTGTTGCTAATATTAATAGTTTCTATTTATGTATTAATTTTAATTTTTTTTTTCATTGGATTTTAAACAATTTGCAACCACGGTTTACATTTAATGAGCTTTATAAAAACCTAATTAGGATTTATTTTTTAGTTATGAAATATATTACATGTTTAATCTCAATAAAAGGTTTTTTGCCTTAGCACTACCTTTAAAAAATAATCAAGCGATATATTTGTTCCAGTATTACAGATTAAAGGTGTCAACAAACCAGCCATATTGATCTACATGTTATGAGTTTTAAAATATCAAAAAATGTTCAACAATTTTATCTTATTGCTGCTTGCTGTCATTTCAGCTGATCGTGTACAATCAGGTACATATATAGGGGGGGTCTATATGTAAATATATATATATATATATATATATATATATATATATATATATATATATATATATATATATATATTTATTTATTTATTTATATTTATACACATACATATTCTTTTTTAACCAATCAAACTTAGTAGTATTTGCACACGTCACTAAATGGATACTATATAATATACATTCTAGCCTGTACAGAAAAAGGCTGGTTTGGCACATCTTGTCAGTACAGGTGTCACTGCACTGATGACAAGTGTCACACTACCACAGGTGAATGTGTCAACGGTTCTAAATGTGTGAGAGGCTGGTTCGGTCCAAGCTGCCAATATCGTAAGTGAGAACGCCATTTATTAATGTACATTATGTTAGGCAAGTATTTGTACATCATCAGCTCTTGTGGTAGTTCAAATAACATTAATCGAATCGGAGTGCGAAAGTCTTTAGGACAATACGCTTATCGTACTCAGCAAGTATATTTCTAAATCACACTTTTGGATATGCCCTATTTAAACTGCACTAAATCATTTAAGGTGTAATGCGCATAATAAACCCAAATGCTGATATGTTGTCTTAATTGGTCTTTTGCACTTTTTGGATAATTTGTCCATTTTTATATTAAGAAAATACTTACTTTAATGATACTTTTTTAATGCGTTAAAATACTATTTTACGCCCCCTCCCACCACCCCCCCCCCCAAATAATTAAATAATAATCAATTTGTCTCAATCTTACAAGTTTTCTACGGAGAGTGTAAAATCCGTCATCATATTCAGTTTGGCGTAATTGGAAAGCGTTATTTCTCATATTTTTGAGAATTGTATTTCCCATCATCTCAGAAATACTTGAAGCTTACTATCAGCTTTACAAATTACACAGAATTGTTATTTTCGTGACCTACTTTTCGTTACTTTCTGCTGTTTTTATTTATATTTTAAAAATTCGCAGTTTATTACACTAAAAACCCTCCTACTTTCTTGTTATGAAACAGTCCCCATCATATTTTTCGTAATTGTTCTTCATGCAAAAGCAAAACTTGTGTTATGAGAGCATTGTTATGGCTTTCATAGAAAAAAAAATATGGTAAATAACATACACATTTTGAAACTTGTGCACACTAAAAAGATGCGATATCTCAGACCTTGAGAATTCTGACCAGTAGCTCCTTCAAAACTTGTTGTGACAAAAGTTATAATATATTTAAAGATATAAGACGTTCAAATTTGATTGCTATAAGTGCATACATAAAAAATCCTTAGCTTTTTTATAGTACCCAATTTTCTAATTGGCGGAGGTATTTTTCGGGTTTCCGTGACTACCGAAATTGTTCTAACCCTTTTTTTATGCTGCTTATCACTTACTTTCATTTGCCAAACTTGGTACAATTATTCAAACAGTTCTGATCTTAAAACATCATAAAAAAAAAACATTTTAAAAAATTGAGCATATCCCCTTACTATTAATGACTACCCCCTACTGAGCTTTATAAATATATTAATTACCTTAAATACTTATCATTTGTTGACAGAGGACCTTGTCACGGAGTACACATTTATCCCACAACCTGCTGTAAACAAACTAACAGACAGTGACGATACCACATGTGATGACAATGCCAAATATTCTATAACACTTGCCTGGAATATACATTACAGAATTTCATGGATAAGGATTGTATACACTGCCTCAGGTTTGCTATTACGCTTGTAATACTGACAGCAAAAGTTTGATTTAAACCTTCCTTAACCAATTTGTCTAAGCTTATTATTTATACATAATTCACTCATAATATTATTTAGCACAACAAGGCGGTATTACGTTTTTAAAAATAATACAAATTCTTTTTGATGATGTAAACAAATTAATATAATTATAAGTCCTGTTCCTAGAAATTGATATACAATTGTATTTACTTAAACACTATTCACTCCATAAAATAATTTTTTGTCTATTCTATTTTATATCAACATAAAGAGCCTTTGAAAGCAATTAACCTCACGCTAGGGAACGATGTGTGTGACACCATTGCAACCTCGGTTGTGGATAATACAACCACGGACACCTTTTGCTACATGAATGGAATTTATGGCTCTTTGACTTTAATGTTGAGTCAAGCGGTAGTATTGTGCTCAGTGTATGTTAATGGAGGTAGGTTTCTATACAAAAAATATGTACACACAAACACCAACGTATTTCATATATATGCATATATATATATATATATATATATATATATATATATATATATATATATATATATATATATATATATATACATATATATATGTATATATATAGGTATATATATATATATATATATACATGTATTTGTATAACATATATAATATAGTATATATATATATATAAATTATATATATAATAAATAATATATATATATATATATATATATATATTCATATATATATATATATATATATATATATATGTATATATATATATATATATATATATATATATATATATATATATATATATAATTGTCTTTTGAGGTCGGAATGTCGCATTAAGGCAAACAGCAGTCCAGTCAACTAATTATGCAGGTAAATACATACACAATGTCACAGATATACAAGCTAGCAATGCAGTTGACGGAGACCGCAACAGCAACTTCAAAGAGAGCTCGTGCACGCATACTAATGACAATGACCCCAATCCGCAATGGAGTGTGACGTTTTCATCTGTGAATGTGGTAGACAGGTATATCCTTTACAACAGAGGTAAGTTTTGTAATCGTATATGTACTGGTCTTTAGTTAACAATACTGTTAACATAGTTTTGCTCTTGTTTTATTGTTGAACTTGAAATAACTGAATTTCAGCTGATTTCAGTGAGAGGCTTGGTGGATTTAAGCTAGTTAGCTACTCTGCCTATAACTTGCCTGTGTTTAACTATGACGAATCGGGCGAAATTTTACCTACTTACACCATCACATATGTGGGGAAAGAGGTTATGAGTGTTGCCATAACTGCTGTTAGCATATTGACGCTATGTGAAGTGGAAATATACGGGGGTATGTGTTTCAACTTTAATAACTTATTTCATGTTGTGTGTTTATTTATTTAACCCTTCATTTCATGATTTGGATCTTGCATAATTTGTGCAAAATACTCAGAATATAAAAAAAATATATAATATACAGTCAGTAAACACATTTTTTTTTTGGAATTAGTTCATCTTTTAAATCTTTTTTAGTACATTCTGTCGTTTCTTTTAAAACAATTCATTCTTCAAATTAAATGGTTTTAGTGGACTTTTAGTAAAACAAACTTTTGGCCTTAATTTTATTTAGCGAGTTTTTTTTTTTGACTTTGTGAAAAGATAGAAAATGTGCTCCTGGCTATTTTGGACTAGACTGTGACCAACAATGCCGCTGTAACGACACATCTGAGACTTGCATGTCTATCACTGGTGGATGTTTATCTGGGTGTTTGTCTGGGTACTATGGCCAGGGATGTCAGATGGGTGTGTATTACTCTACTTTTTAATTTTGCTTTATAAATAGATGCCAAATCTTAAATTACATTGAATATAACATATTGTGTGTAGAGATAAAAGTTTATCTGGTAATTTATTTTTAACTACTGACTGGAGGAAATTTAAATGTTTCTTCATGTCGCTAAAACAAAAGTGTTAAAATAGGGAATGTTTTAAAAAATGTATAAACATGTAAGAAATATATAAAACTAGATGATTGATGTAGATGTTTTGTTACTAGAATAGAGCAGCACAATATGCATTTTCTATGTTATGCACGCATTTTCAAAATGTATCGAGACATAGTTTATGTTGTTTTTAAATTTCATTTAATCGAAAATGTGATCGTTAAGTGTTTCAGTAAGCAAATATTTAAATTTATCAATTCATAATGTTGCTGTTTTGTTTGAAGCGTGTCCAGCAACAAAGTGGGGTGTTGACTGTCTCAAAGATTGCAGTCCTCTTTGTATCCACTCCAAAATGTGTGATCGGACAAATGGCTTGTGTAATGATGGATGTGTAGCTGGATACTTTGGTCCAACGTGTAACCATGGTAAGAATGGAAATCTACGATAAATTAAATTACGTAGTATATATATATATATATATATATATATATATATATATATATATATATATATATATATATATATATATATATATATATAATCCAATTGGCATATGTTTTTTGTTGTTGTCTATAATATTAGAATGCCCAGAAGGTAAATGGGGAGAGAACTGTATCAACAATTGTAGTGAGCACTGTGCTAATGCTGCGCCTTGCAACATACGAAACGGAACATGTGAAGCAGGCTGCAGTCCTGGTTACCTTGGTGACACGTGTAACACGGGTATACATCATTTAACATTTGTCAACGAAAAAAATACATAACTGACGCGAAAGTTAATACAGTTAATTTAACACACAGTTGATAGGTGAACTTTGATTACACAATTTTCTTGCAGTTGACTTTACCTAATAATTTTAATAAAAGCAAATATAAATCCAATTACAATAAGAAACAGGTGAAATCTCTTACAAATTTTAGAGAACAATGTTTTTATTCACTAGGCTACATGTATTTTATGTTCATATTTTCAGCGCATTTACGAAGCTTATTAATTTACACGGTTTATTTTCTTTATTTTCTAATCTTAAGCAGTTCTTTCTTTTTTGAAGTCGACATAACAACTAAAAATATGAGCTTTAAACCTAATCAACAGCTAATCTCTAAAAAATGTATTTGCCTTTTCTCTACATTGATGATCTCCCTCTGGTATAAAAGCAAAAGTCCGTGACCAACAGCATACCGAAGAAAGCAAGCTGATTTAAAGATCGCTCGTACTTAATCCAGTTAATCCCCCGTTATTTTAGAAATCGTTTAATTAATTTTTAAATTATAATTCATCATCCAATTATTATTTTTTAAAAAGCGGAATGCTCGATAACAGTTTAAAAATTATCTGCATTAGAAGTGGTTTGAAATCGAGTTACAAAATGTGCCACAACTCGCGAATATAGGATGCGAACTAAATAAAAGCTTATCAGCCTCTCTAAAAGTAAAGTTACAAAAAAAAGTTTTAAGGAAAGCAAAGATAATAATCACTAATATTTTACTATGGTTTGTTCATGGTAAATGATGGTATATACATTACTTTTGTAGCATTACGTACTAAGAATAACATGTTATATATCAATTTATGATACTTGAGAGGACAGTCCGCCAACAGTCAATACTGTATTGTATACACTATTTGTTAGAATGTAACAATTTGACCTTTGGCCTGAACTGTCTGGAGAACTGTTCCATCAACTGTGGTGGGGATAGAAAATGTGACATTGTTAGCGGCTTTTGTTTGCAAGGTTGCAAGTCTAAATATGGCGGTCGCGTGTGTGATCAGCGTGAGTAACATTTGGATTGACAAATAGGGTTGAAACATAGTTTTGTGGTGTATATAAGTCAAGAACGTTAAACAATTGTTATAGATTGTCTTTGTTATAAATTAAATTTTCTGATTATACTATTTAAAATAAATAGTTATATTAATTAACTTTTGTTCCCTTGTTACCGCTTGTAGAATGTTTCGTTCTGTTGATATAACTTGACAGTAATCCAGGAAAGTGGAACAGAACCTCCTCTTGTGATTATCATTCCTGCAGCTCTGGGGGCTATCGTAGCGGTGTCGGTCATTGGAGTTGTTGTAATATATAAGAGGTAAAATATTCGTGTGTACCTTAACACATAAACACATTCTTCATATCTTATTTTTATTATTTTACTGGAACCCTGCTTGTTATCTTGTTGCTTTTCAAAGGCGCAAGAAATCTAACGATCCATCAGTTGAAATACAGGATAAAGTACAAGACTGTAAACAATCTTTTGAGTCCACAAATTTGGCAACACATTTGGCAGGTAAAAAAACAAAATTACAATGTCATAGTATTTAATATATTACTAAACCACCCGTCACCTGCCCTGTGTCCCGCCTAAATCCAATAAGCAACTTTATCAATCACTTCTAAAAAAAAAAATTAACATTGACATGATGTGTCTCGAAACCGTGGTACCTGAATGCTAACCTATTACACTAACATCTTATCTATCTAGTCTCTGCAATTCAGAGACATATTTAGTTGTATTTTGTACTTTGATTCTGCTTAAGAAACTTGATTTACGTGAATAGGCCCTAATATTATTTTAAATTAAATTTTATCACAAATTAGACAATTCTATAGTTAAACAAACATAGATTTATATAAAATAATTAAGGCCTGAAATAGTATACTATAGAAAATTATTATTTGCATAGCATATATTCTAGATCTAGGTAGAGCTAGATCTAGAAGTAGACTACGGCTTAAGTTAAGCCTAGTTTTTTTCGAGATCTATAACCTAGATAGATAAATCCCATGTATTCTCAAATTAGACGATCATTGGTACTAAAAAGCAAAGATTTATATCAAATATTAAAAGGACTAACATAGTTTTTATAATTGATTTTATTTATAACTAATTAACTTTGGTTTGACCGAATTTCTAGATTTTATATCTAGATCTAGGATTAACTTTTCCTTTGTCCGACAGCTGATCTCTAGATCTAGAGAAATTTATTGTATACTCAAATTAGAAGAACAGTTGCAAATTGATAATAGTGTTGGAACCTAATAAAAGTAGCAAACTGACGTATCGTTAAAGCTATAGCCGACAGAAACTTAGCTTTGTAATGCGATAATTTTTGAATGGGCAACAAAATCTTCGATGGATACCGCCATGATTGTTTTAAAAAGCAAATAAATCATGTTCTGAACTTTATAGTTAAAGTGGTTATCTACAACCTAATATATTAATAAATAAAAAAACGTCTTTAAACAAATTTGTGATTATCAGTTTGGTCAAAAAGAACATTATTCTTTACCTAAATAGGTATTTTACAGATCTAGACATAGTGCAGATTCTCTCATCTAACCAAACAGAAAAAAAAAAAAAATAAATAAATATACAAACAATAAAACAATCTTGAGCTTTATTAGCATATAGATGGATTACGACGGCATGTTTGCCTCAGTGTTTCTTCCAGACTTTTTTCTCCAGGGGGGCACTTGAACATTTCGGGGGGGGGGGGGGGGGGGGCGGTAGACTTTCTTCATTAAATTTAATTTCGTTCGGGGGGCGGTAAAAATGTTTCGGCCCCCCCCCCCCCCCCCGAAGAGATGCCTGGAAGAAACTCTGGTTTGCCTTAGTACAGCAAGTCCTATACAAATATTTTATTTAACCCTTAAACAATAAAACATGAATTTAGGAGAGACTGTGGACGAACAAGTTGTAAACAAATCACCAGAACATGAAGTGATGATCGAAAATATGTATTCGCTCGCTGAGTCCATTGATGGATCTATTGCTATCCACCAGCTGGCTTACTTCATGAATACACATGACAGACGGTATTTTGATGAACAGTTCAAGGTAATTCCTTTCATGTGTTATCAATTTTATCTTCTTTACCTTTTCAAAACAAGTTCATTTCAAGTAGCTTGTCAAAAATAAACATGTTAACTGTGTTTGTTTCTACAGCATATGGAGAGCTTCGTTTGTAACCGAACGAATGCCATTAATTAAATGCAAACATATTATTTATGTCTATACATGTCTAAAACTTTTTTTTCCTTACACTTTCAGAATATACCAGCACCTGAAAATGTTTCCACAACGATTGGTCTCAGCCAAAAGAATAGACACAAAAATAGATACAAGAATATCTGCACATGTAGGTATCATATGTTATATATGTAAAGAAATGTGTATGTATTATAATTTTATTGTATTTTATATTGTTGATATGATTATCTGCATGTTCGATAGATGACCATTCTAGAGTACATCTAAACATCAATGAAGAAAAGAATGAAGGCGACTACATTAACGCTTCCTACATACAGGTAGGCCAACTGAACAAATTACACTTTGTTAAATATTTCAGGCTGTTGAATTGGTGTGTACTCAATATAAGTTTTCTATACTTTATGCTGTTAAATTTGTGTGTACTGAATATTCGTCTTCTATATTTTAGGGATACAAACATGAGGAAAAATTCATCGCATCTCAAGGTATTACTAAATAACCTTCGATTAGATTGTAGCACTTTAAATAAAGTATGTTATCTAGTTATAAAACTAATGCTAAAATAGTTAACCAAAATCAAATGTCATGCTACCAAAACAATGTTACCTAATATTTGTTTATTAGAGTTTAAGTAAAATTTATTACACAAATATACATGTTCAAATATTCATTACATTTGTGTGCGTAATATAGGTCCAAACAGTATTATTATCAACGACTTTGTACGAATGTTGTGGGAACAGAAAGTAGAAAAGGTAGTCATGGTGACTAATTTGATAGAGGAAGGAAAGGTAATTTAACATTATTTCTGATTGTAAAACAGTATATTTCTTGTCATTATATATATAATGGAGCATTAGTGAATAATTTCATCTATTCAGGTAAAATGCGACCAGTACTGGCCAGAGGATGGGAAGATGATGTTTGGAGATATTAAAGTCAAACTGGCTGTCACACATGTGTTTGCTGATTACACGATCAGAAGATTGCTGTTAAGTAAGGTAATAACATGAAAGCACTACATCTCAACTAATTTAAACTATTCTGATTTTGCAAATTGTAAATTATAGACAATTATAACTATTTGTTAGCCGTTTTTTTTGGAACGAAAGTGAAGTAAGTTTCAATTGAAAAGACACTTTTTAAAAACAAAGTTTAATTACATTTGTAAAACCACAGAAAGGTACGGACGTCCAACAGGTGACCCAGTTCCACTTCACGTCATGGCCGGACAAGGGCGTGCCCATAACTCCCTGGGCGTTGGTGGACTTTGAGCAGAGGGTGGCATTCAACCCCACCAGTAGACCTGTGGTCGTCCACTGCAGGTAGGCTTGCTGGATACTAGGAATAATTTATTGTGTGTGTGTATATACAACATGTTGTTCTTTTATAATGAATCATAACTCCATTAATACTTGCTTTTTTTCTGTTGTCAATTGCGAATTCACTCGTTGTACATAATTTTCGGATTTCATACATTTTCTGCCAAATATTTACGGTTACAAAGTCCCTAGTTTTAACTTTGAAACATTTTATTTAGGGAAGTATTACTCAGTCTCTAAAACTAACTAGATTTGTTATTTAGTAGATCGATTGTATACTCGACCGATTTATATTTTATTTATAAAAGAGGATACGAAAACACCAAACGTCTCAGCTGAATAATATTCGGGTATTTAGATATGGACATATTGCTGACATGATCACTTGATTTTAGCGCTGGTGTTGGCCGTACAGGGACATTTATCGCACTGAGAAATGTGATGAGAGAAGCTGAGGAGACTGGACGTGTTAATTTCTTACAGACAGTCGCCAGGCTAAGACAGGACAGGATGAATATGGTACAAACAGCGGTAGGTGGATGGGGCTTTTTGGGCAGGCAGAAGGGGCTTTTTGGGTAGGTCAATGGGGCGTTTAGGCTAGGGTGATGGGGCTTGTAGGTTAGGTTAATGGGGCTTTTTGGCAAAGTAAAATGGGCTTTGAGACTAGGTTGGTCTGGCTTTTTGGTTAGGTTAATGGGGCTTTTTGGCCATACTGAAGGGGCTTTTGAGGCTAGGTTAAATGGGCTATAAGGCTAGCTTGATGGGGCTTTTAAACTACATAAAATGCTTCACAATTTAAACACTTCTGTATGAGATCAGGATATGTATTTATAATTATTGTCTTACTAATGTATTATCAATGGTATAATTTATCGATAAAAGAGTACACAAAGTCTAATATTGCAAAAATTGTTTTGTTAATACTGTTTTACAATAGACATTACTGGAACAATTAATGTTTTAGTTCCAATCTACTTTGCTTAGTTTATTAAAAATAGATAATGTAATTTAGACGTTTCTATATTTCTTTTAAGTTTCAACATCAAAATAATTTTATAGAAAATTAAAGCCTTTATGTTTTCTTCAGGAACAATACGAATTTCTCCACAAAGCAGCACAAGTAGCAATAGCATGTATAGGTACCACAATCACAGCCTATGATGTTGACGAGAAGGTTCAACATCTTCTGGACAAATCTGTGTCGGGGAAAACTAATCTGGAGAATGAATTTCATGTAAGCCACGAGTGTATGATGTATGTTGATGAGCAAGATATATTATTTAAGAGTAAGCATGTAAGCATGTATTCTCTTCAACCCAGTCGGTATGTGCTCTAAGCGCTGACTTACAGACAGCTGGTAAAGAAGAAGAAAAAGAATTGAAGGTTTACGAAAACAACCAAGATGTGGACTTGATGAGGAAAAACCGATGCCCAGAGATAATGCCGAGTAATGTACTTTTCCTTTAACATTTATGTGTATTTTTGCTATAAACTACCAACAATAAGTATTTTAACGACTATTATATGTATTGATTATCTAGCACTGTAAAAAGTGTTTTCATGGATGTTGTAGCCCATACAAATATTTTAAATCCGTCTGTGTGTGTTTTTTTACCGCTTACAAACTGAAAAATACGTTTTTAATTATGTTTCCTTATTAATTAATCCAATGGATTGTTGCGTAAATTCTTATCAGTGTCAATTATATTTTCGTAGATCAGCTGTACCGTGCTAAGTTGTCTAGAAGCAGACCAGAAGACAGCGACTACATTAACGCGGTTGTCTTTCCTGTAAGTTGGTTTACCACACATAGTCATGGTAAGCTGTATACAGCTAATTCACATACTCATGAAGTTAACTGTTTTAATTCCACCTGACCATCAGAACTTCACCAAACTTGACCATCAGCAGATTATAATTTTTTTTTTAAATTCCACCTGACCATCAGAGCTTCACCAAACTTGACCATCAACAAATTATAAAAACTTTTAATTCCACCTGGCAATCAGAGCTTCACCAAACTTGACCATCAACAAATTATAAAATCTTTGTTTTAATTCCACCTGAACATCAGAGCTTCACCAAACTTGACCATCAACAAATTATAAAATCTTTGTTTTAATTCCACCTGACCATCAGAGCTTCACCAAACTTGACCATCAACTGCTGACACAACTGCCCCTGCCAACAACTGTGGAAGACTTCTGGAGGCTGATTGCTGAGTACAACGTCACGTTGGTGGTGGTGTTTGATGTGGGACTCGTGCTACACGATAAGGTACTCGTTCGTTTATGAGCTTGTACACACACGTAAAACAAGATTCCATTAAAGACTTTATGGTCGTTAAGCACGGTGCAAACAAAATACTTTGAAATCAATGTTTTATTTGCAAGAATCATAATCCAATTCACATTTTAAATTACATTGACATAATCTACTTGGAAACTAGTTTCAAAATATCCAAATTACTTTCACATGATTGTAGACTTAAAATGTGTTAATATTTATAAAAATATGAAGTCGTTGTTAGTGATTCATTAAATACCGGACATTATTCTAGACATTAGGTCACTACCTGCCAGCATCAGTCAATGAGATGTTGAACATCAGAGACTACACAGTGGAGCTCAAGTCAAGCAACACACACACATTATGGGAGGAAAAAAATGTTGTCGTTAGAACTATGGGACCTCTACAGCTGAAGTCATTCAATGTAAGCTCAAGTAATGAGGATAAATACAATGTTAATTGAAGTATAGGTTGTGTGAATTTATTTCACAACGTTTTAGAACAATCCTGTCATGTTGCAGACACAAGACGGTCACACTGTTCTACATCTACAAAGTAAACTCACCACACTGGACACAAAGACGTTGCTGCAGTTTATAAAACAAACAAGAAAACACTCAAACAAGAAAGGAAGAGTGCTATACATGTGCAGGTATGTGTTTTTGAAGATAGAGTTGGTTAAACATGTATATACATATACCTCTATATATTTAAATTCATGTTTTTAAAAGCAGGATAACGAGTTTATTTTTCTTGGTTTTTAAATCTTTCAGCCCAGTCTAATAGAAAATAGTTAACAAAACAATGTATAATTACAATAAAGTGTAATTTAATTCCTAATATTACGCCTTGTATTTTTAAAAATATACCTTACATATGCAAATTTTATATTCAAACAAATGAATATAATGAATAATTCGATGACCAGAGATGGGGCCACCTACAGCGGTCTTGTCTGTGTTTTGAACCTCCTACTAGACAGGATGGACAATGACCTACGGCTAACTGTGCCATTAGTTGTTGGGGCGGTCAAGTCCATTCGTCCACAGGTCATTCCTACACTGGTGAGTTCTGTTATCAATGTATTGTTTAATGTAACGAAGTGATTCGGTTCACTGCTACTGTAATGCATAAAGTCTCTATTATATTACTGCGATAGTTATTTGCTGTGCAGCAAAACATTTTAAAAAGATGATTACTTACGTTCAACTTTGATTTCAAGTCTATCAACTCTTCTATTCTTATTTTCTTTTCTTCCTATTTTATTTTCACCATATTATTCTGTGTAGAATTTTTGTTATGAAATTACTGTACCAACTTGCAATGTATTCCTACAGGAACAGTACCACTGCCTGTATCAAGTGCTACAAAGATACAGCGATACGACGACCACATACAGCAACTTTGAGAAGAAATCTGAAAAACTAATACAGCATTTAGATAATAATGTTGATGACAATGTACTGTATGCAAATACTGAGTAATCATAACATTCACATAGCTGGACAATTTCGTTATGCATTTGATGTTAACCAGGGGAAGTAATACTGTAAACGTTACTGCTTTCGTTATTTTCAAGTTGTTCCCCTTGTTATCATGAACCCTTACCACTATAAGTGCCAGGAAATATCCTTACAAAACATAATAAAATACATCTTCATCATCGTGGCCTAAACAATACTTTTGCACTTTATAATACTGATGATTTGTTATTTTATCGATTACTAATTATAACATGTATATATTTTAACAGTTATAATTATAAACAAGTGAGTCGTGGGGAGGGGGATGTATTTATTCCAGTATTTTTTTTTTATTTATTTTAAAACAGTTATTGTGTATTGCTTTAAAAGAAATGTCTTCACACGGTAACAATGTACACACTTCATATTATTTTATTCAACTAATTGTTAGTAAAATACTCTGTTTAAATCTTTTTTTTTTTATTTTATTAAATTACAAATGCATTTAAAATATAATTTTACTTATTTTATTTTAGCCTTGTCAATTTGTCTGAACGATAACTAAACATCCGAGTTTTCAATTCAAATAGAATAAATGTTATTATAGACTTTTAAATTTACCATGATGTTAATTTTTAGTTTTGTGTCGCTGTAATTTAGGTGTTCTAGCATTCAGTTGCAGTAATTAAAAAAAAATTATTCAATTGAAAATTCGGATGTTTAAAATTAGGGTAAACTTTGTTTCATGTAAACTTCCATTGTCACGTGTACTCTTACTACATGATATTTCTTATATATATTTTAAGTTGTTTCACATCTATATATTCTAGATTTCTGCCTACAAGTTTTTGCTGCACGATTAAAAAATAAAAAATAAAGCATTAGTTGCACTGTTTAAAATCTATACATAACACTTATGTTATCAATGTTTTATTATAATACCCAACAGATGCCTCGTTACAGTACATCAGCTGTTTTACATGGTCGTTTCCGGTAAACCGGTCTGATAAGACGTATGACATGTCTTGGGAAGACTTGTGTAAATCGAACATTGGTTTTTCACGCGTCTGCCAGTGTCAGCCTAAAATGATAAACGACTACCTGTTAAACATCTCGTGTTATCAATATATAACCGGTATTTCTGGTTTAGGTGTTGACTCACAATAATCCATTCATAAGCTGTGTGACATTCTAAATGTATCCGCATAGGATTGGAGGTACAGTGGGCAGCTGATGTAGACTTATCATGTCTATCTGACCTCGACACTTGCGATACTGTCTGTCAGATCTATACCCAGCCAGCTTTACTATGAGTCAGATACCCATCACAGATGAGCATACTTAGCAATCAAGTGTTTCTTTCAGACTTTTTTTCCGTGGTGGGGGGGGGGGGGCACTTAAATTTTTCGGGGGGGGGGGGGTGGTGGGCGGACTAAAATTTCTGGGGGGGGGGGGGTGGACACTGTTAAAAGTATATATTTTCTATATAAATTCCATTTCCTTTGGGGGGTGGGCGATTGATTTTCTTTCGTGTTATTAGCAGTTCAATGCGAAGTACTATAAGCTAATTATTTTACTTAACATTCATGTGCAACTGCTTGAGGTGTGAGTAAAAAACAAAACAATGTGAACATAAAACAATCAACCAAATTTGTATAGGGTTGGTTATACGGGTAGATGAAAAAATAGTTAACTTTATGAAAACATGAAGCGGCTTTCAATTGTTTTAGTTCTTCATTCGTATTTATTTACACAATCGATTCGTGTTGCAAAAAAACAGTCCTACTTTATTTTTACTTTCTCGTATACTAGGTACAGAGGAAGTATTTTAATCGGGCAAAAAAAAATTGAAATCAAAATTTTAACAACTCTCGACGTTTTACACCTCCCTGAGTCGGATAGCTTAGTTTTGCAATTTTGTCCGTATGCCTGTGTGTGTGTCTTTCTCTACCTTATTTGCCTTCTTTCAAATTTTGGGTCACAAAAAACCGCTTATGAAATTATCAAGTGCTAATATTCTGCACTATTATACACATGTTGTTTGCTTTTGCTGTACGAGATTCTATTTTATTTTATGCAGTTTAAGTAATGGATTAAAAATCATGTCATATTAGCTCGAGTTACCTTACCCAGTAGTGTTATATAGGAATTTTCAAGTAGGTTTATGGGAGATCACTCTCGCTTTATTTCTAAAATGTACAGAATTTAAAATGTAAGATTTACTCTAGCTAGAGTTGAATGATACTCAACACGTCTCGGGGTATGGTGTGATTTACTTCCGTGTCAGCGCTAATCTAGCTCATGCTTTGGCATGTGAGTTCATACTTTTCTACTATCTATAGCGGACACATTGTTTCTGAATTTTTATAACGGATATTTAAATATTATTTGACTCACACGATTGAGACAGTATGATTCAGAATTGTTGTTTGGCGTTGATTATCATAAGTTGGATGGAACTAGGGAGTATTTTAAAATATTTTAAACTTTTGAACTGTTATTGAAGGACCTAAGGTAAATGTAGGATATTGTGGGAAGAAAAAAAATGGGTTTTAGTATCAGATAAGCTGCAGTTACCTCGAGACCGTTTGATGCTAAAAATAGACACAGGTATGCCCTTTAGGCGGATGTAATTTTAGACCGATAATTCAGAGACTGTGTAGTCAATACAACACGATAACTCTCGGGTCATAGGAGTCATTCCGTGGTTTGTTTATGAAATTTGTTATGCAAATATAATTCCAAGTTTTAGGTAATTAGATTTCAAATTCAAAAGATGTATCAATATGTGATATACTATAATATACTATATACTTCTCTGTTTTGTATGCTTTTAATACGTGTATATGTGAACATGCTCAAATAGACTTGGCGATTAAACGTGTATACATTTTTTGTTTATTTTATAAGTTACTAAAGGACATACACTTGTTATATGCTTAAACTTTTTAAAGCAAAGCAAGTGAGAGAAAATGCAATTTTTATGCAACAAACTATAACATACATGAGACCAATTGAATCTACCTTATTGATGAAAACAATGTTTAGTTCGATTATAACCAGCTATTTTTCATATATGTTGCGAAAATAATGCACTTTTTAATAGGTATTAGTTTAAACAATGTCGCGTGCATTGCTAAAAATCATTACGTAAAATTACAGTTAAAATTTAAATAAACCATTCAGATAATATGAATTTGGTACTTGGTATATTTCTTCGAATCATTTTTCTGATTATACTTAAGGTTGAAAAATATATGCATATCCACACACGCATACGCACACACAAACGCAGACACACACACACATATATATATATATATATATATATATATATATATATATATATATATATATATATATATATATATATATATATATATATATATAACCGAAAAGTCTCGAGTTCGAACCCTCGGGCAGATGAGGCTCCTTGGGGACAGCCACTCTTCTAGGAGAGACAACTCCAAAATCAACCAACTGCTGCCTTGTAGTTTGTTCTTGGTTGAACAAAGGCTATGGAAGCAAATCCAAAAAGAAAAGCAGGCTAAAATCTGAGTCAATGGCCTCAATGGCGCATAACCAGTCGACACGTATACTTAATTGTGATGGAGGCTGGTCGAGTCGGCAAAAAGCTCATTGTTGATAAATTCGAAAATGTCTCGAGTTCAAATCCTCTGGCAGATAAGGCTCGATCCCTTCCAACAAAAAAATTAAGAACGAAGAAGATATATATATATATATATATATATATATATATATATATATATATATATATATATATATATATATATATATATATATATATATATATACATTTAATATAATATAAATATACATATGTATGTATATGTGTTTATATACATCTGAAGTCCATTTCTATGTATGATAAACTGTATTGACAAGTGAAGTACGAAGTGGTGAATAAGATGACTTTAAGAATGAACTTCCTGCTAGTTACCAAATACGCCTTATATTTTTATACACAGTTAACCGTCGAGTAAACGAAACTCCCCTTATCAGATATTTACATTATATCTGAATACCCCGGTGTAATAGGTACTGTGTTATGTTAGAACTCTCTAGTTTACTGTGTGTGGTTCATACAAGTCAGTTGAAAACTGAATGTGTTGCTACCTCAGTGTGCTGTCAAATGCTGCAAAACTTAAGTAAGTATAGTTAAACTGTTTGACAACATAAGAGTGGATACACTTATTATTTCTTTTACTAAATGGACGAATCCAGTTCATTTTTTTGTAATCTGTATTTAGAGTTGATTACTACACTTGCGTATAATAGATGAAACGAATACAACTTTGGTTCTTGACGTGCTTACTCAATATTGTTTATGATCGGTTTTGCTAGCTGACGTTAACAAATCTAAAAATGCCTCATAAAGCGGACGTTGTCATGACATCTTTAGCACGTGAACAACACTTCAAACATTTTAACAAGCATAAAAGAAACATGTTATTGCTACCATTAATATTGATTATACTTTTCTATGTATGTATTAAATTGAGATTTAATTATTTTTATATATATATTTCTCTTAGCAGTACAATTAACAAATACAAATCAAGCCATATATTTGCTCCAGTATTACAGATTTAAGTTGTCAAGAAACAAGCCATATAGGCTACATGTTATGAGTTTTGAAATATCAAAAAATGTTCAACAAGTTTACCTTACTGCTGCTTACTGTCATCTCAGATGATCGTGTACTATCAGGTATATATATATATATATAAATATATATATATATATATATATATATATATATATATATATATATATATATATATATATATATATATATTCTGTCTTAGTCTATCAAACTCAGTATAGTTTACACACGTCACTAAATGGATACTATTTTGTATACCTACAAAACATTTCAGCCTGTACAGAAAAAGGCTGGTTTGGCACATCTTGTCAGTACAAGTGTCACTGCACTGATGACAAATGTCACACTACTACGGGTGAATGTGTCAACGGTTCTAAATGTGTGAGAGGCTGGTTCGGTCCAAGTTGCCAATATCGTAAGTCATAACGACATCTTTAAAAAAAAAATTACATTACTTAATGAGAGTATTTTTACCTGGTTAGCTCTAGTGGTAGTTCACAAAAACATTGAGCGAAATGGAGATTAAAAGTGAAAGTCCTGACGACAATATGCTTATCGTAAGGCTATACCAGCAAGTACATGTCTAGATCATACAGTTGGATGGGCCTTTTTTAAACTGCGGGATCCGGCCAAAGGCCGACATTCAAAAGGCCGTAAAGACAAAAGGCCGACAAGTTTTATACAACAACAAACTACAGAGAATTTCAACAAATAAGTTGTTATAAGTTGTAGCTATTTTAATACAATACATCACAACTAACTGATTTCAGTTTAAATAAAAGTTCGATGATTAGATTGCACAGTAGTTGCTTTACTACATTTTGTCCCACCTCTCCCTACACACCTTCGACGATTTAAACGGAAAATTTGATACCCTTTTGATGTCGGCATATTTTCCTACACCATTAAGCTGCACTAAATGACTTAAGTTTAATCAAAGCATAGAGTTCAATACTATTTTAGCTTCCTCCTTCCGAGATAAACATATTAATTACTTTAAACACAAGCAATATCTTTATTGCGATAGAGGACCTGGTCACGGAATACACATTTATCCCACAACCTGCTGTAAACAAACTAACAGACAGTGACGATAGCACATGTGATGACAAGGCCAAAGATTCTATAACACTTGCCTGGAATATACAGTACAGAATTTCATGGATAAGGATTGTATACACTGCCACAGGTTTGCTATTACGCTTGTAATACTGTTAGCATAAAGTTTTTTTCTAGGCTTATAACTTACAGACGTTTATTTTTGTTTTAAATAATTTGCTAATATAAACATTCATTATTTGTATATTATAATCCAGTCATGGTAATTTTTAGTGTTACATTAAAAAATATCGTTTTTAAAAGCAATACACCTACAGTTTAAAAGAGAATAGATAAGTTGTGGTATAAAATAGTTGATGAAGTAAAAAAAAAGTATATAATACTATATAAGTCTTGTTCCTAAAATAGTTTGATGAAACATTTTATTTACGTACACACTACTCCTCGATGAAATAACAACCTTCTATTCTACATTGTATCAACATGAAGAGCCCTTGAGAGCCATTAAACTCAAGCTAGGGAACGATGTGTGTGACACCATAATAACCTCAGTTGTGGATAATACAACCACCGACATCTTTTGCTACACGAATAGAATCCACGACACTTTGGCTTTAAGGTTGAGTCAAGCTGCAATTATTTGCTCAATGTATGTTAATGGAGGTAGGTTTCAATACAATTAATTATTATGTAGGCCTACACACCAACAAAAAAGTATTATATATATATATATATATATATATATATATATATATATATATATATATATATATATATATAATATGTGTGTATATATATATATATATATATATATATATATATATATGTATGTATATATATATATATATATATATATATATATATATATATATATATATATATATATACGTATGTTTCTGTTTCTTTAGACATATCATAGATATAAGATATATGATTTTTATTATCTTTTGAGGGCGAAATGTAGCATTACGACAAACAGCAAGCCAGTCAAGTACCTATGCAGTTATCGGCATAAACTATGCCTATGCTGGCAATGCAGTAGACGGAGACCGAAGTAGTAACTTTGACGATAGATCATGCACGCATACTGATGTCAATCTCCCCAACCCTACATGGAGTGTGACGTTTTCATCTGTCAATGTGGTGGACAGGTATATCCTTTACAACAGAGGTAAGTTATAATAATTGATACGAGTGTTTATACTGTTCTTTAGTGAACAATAAAATTAATATGCGATTGTTCTTGCATTATTCTAGAAACTAAATTATGGAATTTCAGCTAATTTCAGTGAGAGGCTTCGTGGATTTAAGCTAGTTAGCTACTCTACCAATCACTTGCCTGTGTTTAACTATAACGAAGAGGGCAGAGATTTACCTACTTACACCGTCACATCTGAGGGGAAAGAAATTATGAGTGTTACCATAACTGCTGTTAGAATATTGACGCTATGTGAAGTAGAAATATACGGCGGTATGTATTTCGAATATATCAAATTATTGCATGCTGTGTTTATCTCTTGATTGACTGTTCATTTCAGGAACTCAATTTTGCATAATCTTTGCTATTTTTTTTCAGTAAAAAAAATAAATTAAAAAAATCAATAAATAAAAAAGCCAAAATAATGTACAATAAGCAATCATCAAACAAATTTCTTTTTTGGAATTAGTGAATCTTTTAATTTATTTTTTAGTCGACTATTTATTTTTTTAATACAATGTTTTCTTCAAATTAATTTTTTTTAGTAGACTTTTAGTAGCACAAATATTTTGCTTTAATTTAATTTAGCAAATTATTTTTATTTTGTAAGTAGATAGGAAATGTGCCCCTGGCTATTTTGGACTGGACTGTGATAAAATATGCCATTGCAAAAACACATCTGAGACTTGCATGTCTATCACTGGTGGGTGTTTATCTGGGTGTTTGTCTGGGTACTATGGCCAGGGATGTCAGATGGGTGAGTATTGCCCTACTTTTTAACAAAGTAGTCATTTTTATGTAGCATTATAAATAGATGCCAATGCATAAATTAAACTGAATATAATATATTTTCTGTAGAGATGAACGTTTATCGGCTACAATTTTTGTATCTACTGACTAGAGGCAATTTCTTAAGTTTTCAATGGCGTTAAAACATAGATGTAAAAATAGGCAATGTTTTAAGAAATTTATAAAAACTAGATGCTGGTTAAAGATGTTTTGTTACTAAAATAAAGCAACACATGTTAGTTTTCTATGCTATGCACGCATTTTTAAAAATGTCTTGAGACATAGTGTTATTATTAATCAATTTCATTTAACCGAAAATGTGATCGTTAAGTGGTTCAGTAAGCAAACATTTAAATGAGTAGTAAATTTATTTGTGTCGTTTCAAAATGTTTCTATGTTTTGTCTGTAGAGTGTCCAGCAACAAAGTGGGGTGTTGACTGTCTCAAAGATTGCAGTCCTCTTTGTCTCCACTCCAAAATGTGTGATCGGACGAATGGTTCGTGTAATGATGGATGTGTAGCTGGATACTTTGGTTCAATGTGTAATCTTGGTAAGAATGGACATCTACAATAAATTAAATTATGTAATTATATATATATATATATATATATATATATATATATATATATATATATATATATATATATATATATATATATATATATATATATATATATATATATATATATATATGATCCAATTGGCACCTATTCTTTTGTTGTCTGTAATCTTAGAATGCCAAGAAGGGTATTGGGGAGAGAGTTGTGTCAACACGTGTAGTACACACTGTGCTAATGCTAAGGCTTGCAACAGACGAAACGGAACATGTGAAGCAGGCTGCAGCCCTGGTTACCTTGGTGACACGTGTAATACAGGTATACATCGTTCAACATTTCTTAAAGAGAACAATACATAACTGGTGATAACGTTAACACTGTTTTATTTTTATAATATGAGTTAATTAATTAACACAGTTGACAGGTGAGTTTTAATTAAACAATTTTCTTGCAGCTTACTTAAAATAAAAAAAAAACAAATGAAATCTCGTACATATTCTACAGACGAAAGTTTTTTTTATTAACGTACATGTGTTTTATATTCATATTTTCAGCGCATTTAAGTAGCTTATTAATTTACACATTGCATTTTTTTATTGGCTTTATTTTCTACTCTTTAGTAATTCATTCGTTTTGAACTTACGACTTAAAATATTAGCTTAACAACCTAATCAGTAGCTTGCATTCTCTAAAAGAACTTTTATTTGCCTTTTCTCAACGCCTGCGATCTCTCTTGTATGAAAGTAAAAATCATTGACCAACAGCTCACCGCCGAAAGCAATCTGATTTAAAGATCGATAGTACTTAATCCTATTAATCTCCCGAAATAGTAAAGTCTAATTCACTATCTAATTAAATTTAAAAATAATAATAACAAAGACGAAAGCATATTAAAAGTTAATAAAAACCCTCTGCATATGGTTTGAAATTTACTTACAAAATGTGCCACAACTCACAAACTGGTAATGCTTGTGTGCATGTGTATTTAATTTCTGAAAACACACTATAATGTTGGTTATATTAAAATTATTGTGTACAATATTTGTTAGAATGTGACAATTTGACCTTTGGCCTGAATTGTCTGGAGAACTGTTCCATCAACTGTGGTGGGGATGGAAAATGTGACATTGTTAGCGGCTATTGTTTGCAAGGATGCAAGTCTAAATATGGCGGTCACGTGTGTGATAAGCGTGAGTAACATTTGGATTAACAACTAAGGTTGAAACATAGATTTTTGGGGTGTACAAGTAAAGTTAAACAATTGTTACAGATTGTCTTCGTTAAAAATAAAATTGTATGATTATAATATTTAAAAATAATAGTTATATATAGCTTTTGTTTCATTGTTACCGCTTCTAGTATCTTATGTTCTGTGTGTTTAATACATTAAAATTACCTTGAAACAATAAGATGTATATAACATATCAATAAAATAGTATATAACTTTACAGTAAAACAGGAAAGTGGAACAGAACCTCCTGTTGAGATCATCATTCCAGTCGTTCTGGGAGCTATCATAGCGGTGTCGGTTATTGGAGTTTTTGTAATATTTAAGAGGTGAAGTTTCAAATGTCCGTTTTTATATACATACAACAATACACATATACGATCGTGTTATTTTACTGAAACTGCTTGTTATCCTGTTTAATTTCAAAGGCGCAAGAAATCTAACGATACGTCAGTAGAAACACCGGGTAAATTACAAGACTGTAAACAATCTTTGGAGTCCTCAAAATTGGAAGGTAAAAAAATAAATTACAATCATAATCTAGATAGTATTTCATATATTATAACGATGGAATATTTGTCTTTATACAGCAAGTCATACATACGACTCACTAGAAAACGGAGTAATGATTGAAAATTCGTATTTGGTCGTCGAGTCCATTGACGGATCTATCGCCGTCCATCAGTTGAGTGACTTCATGCACACACATGACAGACGGTATTTTGATGAACAATTCAAGGTGATTACTTTCATGTGTAATTAATGTCATATTCCTCATTTTTTTCAAAACAAATTAATTTCAAATAGCTTATCAAAATTATATATAATAACTTTGTTTTTATTTCACTGGCTTATGGCGAGCTTTGTTTATAAGAGATGTAATGCCATTAACTAAATGCAAACATATTATTTTGTCTATACTTGCCTAAACCTTCCGCTGTATACCCACAGATTATACCAGCACCTGAAAATGTTTCTACATCGATTGGCCTCAGCCAAAAGAATAGACACAAAAACAGATACAAAAATATATGCACTTGTAGGTATCAGGGGTTATATAATATGTCTAGTATTTTTAATTGCATTATAGATTTTTTAATATGACTACCTGCTTGTTTTGATAGATGACCATTCTAGAGTACATCTAAACATCAATGAAGAAAAAAATGAAGGCGACTATATTAACGCTTCCTACATAGAGGTAGGCCTACTCAACAAATTATACTTTGTCAACTATTTCAGGATGTTCAATTTGTGTGTAGTCAATACAAGTTTTCTATATTTTAGGGATACAAAAATGAGGAAAAATTCATTGCATCTCAAGGTATTACCAAATAACAATCGATTAGATTATAGATCTTTAGATAAATTATATAATCTAGTCACAATACAAATGTAATAATAGAAAACAAAATGAAATGTCAAGACAAGTAAACAATTTTACATAATATTTGCTTATTAGAGTTTAAGTAAAATTTATTACACAAATATATATGTTCAAATAATCATTACATTTGTGTGCGTAATATAGGTCCAAATAATATTATTATCAACGACTTTGTACGAATGTTGTGGGAACAGAAAGTAGAAAAGGTCGTCATGTTAACTAATTTGATAGAGGAAGGAAAGGTACATATGCATTATTTTTAATTAATTTTTACAGTATTTCTGATTGACAAGAAGTATATTTCTTTTAGTTATAAATACATTAACATCCATATATATATATATATATATATATATATATATATATATATATATATATATATATATATATATATTATATGTATAGAATTGAGCTTATGTGAACAATTTCACCTATTGAGGTAAAATGTGACCAGTACTGGCCAGAGGATGGGAAGATGATGTTTGGAGATATTAAAGTCAAACTGGCTGTCACACATGTGTTTTCACACATGTGATTACACGATCAGAAGATTGCTGTTAAGTAAGGTAAGAAGTTCAGTATACAGATTTAAAACCTCAGTAACAATCAACCTGAAAAATGTTTAGCGGTTTTCTCTAAGTGTTTTGGAAGAAAATGAATTTAACCTATTAAAAGTCGTGGCACAATACTATTTTAAAGACACTGTGTTCTTTTGATAAAACATGCCAGAAAACCAAAAGCCAAAGAAAACCAAACACATTAATGTTTCTAAAACGATATGGCCTTTGTGGATAAAATTACAAGGAGTATTACTGCTATAACAAAAACGGTATAATTAATGATGGATTATTTTTATATTAAGTTTCAGCTATGTGAAATAAATTGCATCATCAGGCTGATATTTTAAACAAAATATGTTTCTGTATATAAATAAACATATAACAACTAATTAAATACTTTTATTTACTAATGCGTAAACCCCAGAAAGGCACGGACGTTCAACAGGTGACCCAGTTCCACTTCACGTCATGGCCGGAGAAGGGCGTGCCCATAACCCCCTGGGCATGGGTGGACTTTGAACAAAGGGTGGCATTTAACCCCACCAGTAGACCTGTGGTCGTCCACTGCAGGTAGGCTTGGCTGCTACTAGAAATTATTTCTGTTGTGTCTGTATATACAACATGTTGTTCTTTGTGTAGTGAATCATAACTCCATTAATATTTGCATTTTTCTGCTGGCAGTTGCGAGTTCACTCGCTGTACAGAATTTCCGGATTTTATACATTTCCTGACAAATATTTACGGTTACCGAGTCGCTTTATTTAGTGAAGTATTATACAGTCTCTAAAACTAACTAGAATTTAGTATTTTGTATACCGAATGCATAGCCTACATGACCGATTTATATATATTTTAAACGAGGATACTAACACACAAAACAAAGCAGAGTAATGTTAGGTTATTTAACTATAGACAGATTGCTAACATTACCTCTTGATTTTAGCGCTGGTGTTACCCGTACATGGAAATGTATCGCTCTAAGAAATGTTTTAGTTGTGTTAATGTCCTATTAATTACTGCCGTGATTTTAGCGCTGGTGTTGGCCGTACAGGGACATTTATCGCACTGAGAAATGTGATGAGAGAAGCTGAGGAGACTGGACGTGTTAATTTCTTACAGACAGTCGCCAGGCTAAGACAGGACAGGATGAATATGGTACAAACAGCGGTAGGTGGAAGGGGCTTTTAGAATAGGTTATGGGGGGCTTTTTGGGCTAGGTTAAGGGGCTTTTACAATTGCCAGTACTTGAATAATTAACGTTTTAGTTCCAATCTACTATGTTTAGTTTATTGAAGATAAATAATTTAGTCTTTTCTATATTTATTTAAGTTTCAACATTAAAATAGTGTTTATAGAAAATTAATGCCTTCATGTTTTGTTCAGGAACAATACGAATTTCTCCACAAAGCTGTACAAGTAGCAATAGCATGTATAGGTTCCACAATCACAGCCTATTATGTTGACTTGAAGGTTCAACATCTTCTAGACAAATCTGCGTCGGGGAAAACTAATCTGGATAATGAATTTCATGTAAGCCTCGTGTGTAGGATTTACTTTGGTGAGCAAGATAAATTATAAAGATAGATCATATGTGTTAGACTCAGTATACAAAAGCATGTTTAAACGTATATCTTTTTACCCAGTCGGTATGTGCTGTGAGCGCTGACTTACAGACAGCTGGTAAAGAAGAAGAAAAAGAATTGAAGGTTTACGAAAACAACCAAGATGTGGACTTGATGAGGAAAAACCGGTGCCCAGAGATTATGCCGAGTAATGTACTTTTCCTATAACATTTCTGTGTATTGCTGCTGTAAACGACCAACAATAAGCATGTTATCGACTTTTACATGCATGGACTATGTAGCGCTGTAAAAAGTGTTATGTAGCCCATACAAATATTTTTAATCCAAGTTATTTTAACCGCTAACTTAAATTGTAATACTAGTTTAAATTGTGTTCTTTTCTTAAATAAGTTAATGGATTATTGCGTATCTTTTTGTAAGTAACAATTAAATTTTTGACAGATGAGCTTTACAGAGCTAAGCTACGCAGAAGCAGACCGGAAGACAGTGATTACATCAACGCTGTTGTCTTTTCTGTAAGTTGGTTTACCAAACATACTCATGGTAAGCTGTATACAGCTAATTCACATACTCATGAAGTTAACTGTTTTAATTGCACCTGACCATCAGAGCTTCACCAAACTTGACCATCAACAAATTATAAAAACTTTTAATTCCACCTGACCATCAGAGCTTCACCAAACTTGACCATCAGCAAATTATAAATTCTTTGTTTTAATTCCACCTGACCATCAGAGCTTCACCAAACTTGACCATCAACAAATTATAAAATCTTTGTTTTAATTCCACCTGACCATCAGAGCTTAACCAAACTTGACCATCAACAAATTATAAAATCTTTGTTTTAATTCCACCTGACCATCAGAGCTTCACCAAACTTGACCATCAACTGCTGACACAACTGCCCCTGCCAACAACTGTGGAAGACTTCTGGAGGCTGATTGTTGAGTACAACGTCACGTTGGTGGTGGTGTTTGATGTGGGACTTGTGCAACACGACAAGGTACTCGTTCGTTTATCAGCTTGTACACACACGTAAAACAAGATTCCATTAAAGACGTTATTGTCGTTAAGAACGGTGCAAACAACCTACTTTGAAATCAATGTTTTATTCGCAAGAATTATAATCCAATTCACATTTTAAATTACATTGTAATAATCTACTTGGAAACTAGTTTCAAAATATCCAAGTAACCTTCACAGTAACGCACGTTATAATTGTAAACTTCAGTCAGGGATCTTGTATCAATATATAATGTATTTTAATCTAGACATTAGGTCACTACCTGCCAGCATCAGTCAATGAGATGTTGAACATCAGAGACTACACAGTGGAGCTCAAGTCAAGCAACACACATACATTATGGGAGGAAAAAACTGTTGTCGTTAGAACTATGGGATCTCTACAGCTGAAGTCATTCAATGTAAGCTCAAGTAATGAGGATAAATACAATGTTAATTGAAGTATAGGTTGTGTGAATTTATTTCACAACGTTTTATAACAATCCTGTCATGTTGCAGACACAAGACGGCCACACTGTTCTACATCTACAAAGTAAACTCACCACACTGGACACAAAGACGTTGCTGCAGTTTATAAAACAAATAAGTAAACACGCAAACAAGAAAGGAAGAGTGCTATACATGTGCAGGTATGTGTTTTTAAAGATAGTGTTGGTTAAAAATGTATATACATATACCTCTATGTATTTAAATTCATTATTTCAAAGTAGGATATCGTGTTTATTTTCCTTGCTTTTTTATCTGTCAGCCCAGTCTAATAGAAAACAGTTAACGAAACACTGTATAATTAAAATAAAGTGTAATTTTATTCCTAATGTAACGCCTGGTATTTTTAAAAATATACCTTGCATATGCTAATTTTATTTTCAAACAAATTAATTGAATGAATGATTCGATGACCAGAGAGGGGGGCCACCTACAGCGGTCTTGTCTGTGTTTTGAACCTCCTACTAGACAGGATGGACAATGACCTACGGCTAACTGTGCCATTAGTTGTTGGAGCGGTCAAGTCCATTCGACCACAGGTCATTCCTACACTGGTGAGTCATGTTACCGTGTTACTAAATATGTGTACTACTATATTAATTAGCTTCTCTGCTACTATATTACACAAAGCTTCTCAATTATATTACTGTGTTACTAGTAGTAGTTGTTACATAGGCTACATATTTTTATATTTTAGGCTACTACATTTGTCATCTTGTTACTCGAAGCCTGTGAGCTTTGTTATATAGATCTTTACACTTAGTGTTTACTATGCTATTCTGTGTGTAGACATTGTTTACTGGCATTACTGTAAAATTTACTTAACCAACTTGCAATGTACTTCAACAGGAACAGTACCACTGCCTGTATCAAGTGCTACAAAGATACAGCGATACGACAACCACATACAGCAACTTAGAGAAGAAATCTGGAAAACTTATACAGCGTTCAGATAATAATGTTCATGCGGATTGCAACGGGTGACACCATTTAAGGGGGTGACACCAAGGCAAAAAAAAAAGGCTACGCCTCTGGGGGTGACACTATTAAGTGCCGCACCGGTGACCTCGCTACGCCACTGGTTAGGACACTGATTAAAGTATAATTTGTATATATCATTTTTCGTTTCGGGGAGAGGGTGGAGTTAGACGAAGGAGAGATGTCCAAAAATAAGATTGTGTGTCTATTTAATTTTAGATAAAGACTGATCATTGTATCACAATTCATAATACATAATGTGGATTTCGCAAGAAACACGTTTTTAGAAGAAGAATATTACATCTATGTTCATATAGATGACTAGTAAATATGAGAGATCAAGATGTAAGAAATCGATAAGTTTAACACAAATAACCCAGACGTTTCGACTAAGTGTCACCTTTAGAAATAGACGTACGGAAGTTAACTCGTCACAATCCAGCCTCATTACCTGCCCCCCCCCCCCCCCCCGCATCACACACACATAAACGTCACCATCAGAAATAGACATACCGAAGCTAACTCCTCACAACCCACTCCATCCGCCCTCACCCCCTCCCCTAAAATTGTCACCGTCAGAAATAAATATACATAAGAAAATTCCAGCTTCATCACTTTCCCCCAACCCCAACAATTGTCACCTTGAGAAACAGATGGAAGCAAACTCCTCACAACCAAGGATCATCTGCCCCCCCCCCCCCCACACACACACACAAATGTCACCATCAGAAACAAATATACGGGAGCAAACTACTCACAGCCCAGCCTCAACAAAATCCCCACATACCCCCCCCCCTCCACACACACAGACAACTTTAACACTCAGAAATAGATATACAGAAGGCAACTCCCCACAGCTCAGCCCCATCCGCCCTCAACCCCTCCCCCATAAATGTCCCCGACAGAAATAAATGCACAGAAACTAACTCCTCACATCCCAACCTCATCACCCCTCCCCCAACCACTGTCACAACATGAAATCATAACAATTTATTGTGTATAACTCTATTACGATCGAGAAAAATACAATACATAATTGATTTAATAATGTATTGAACTATTGCCTAGTTGCTTTTTTTCTACTTATTTTTTTTTATGTAACGAAATAAAAGCAAATAACAAATGTAGTCTTACAAAGTATTTAATACATACAATATACCGGCTTTAACGTACATTTTTAGTTTATTTTTGTGAAGTTTTGCCCCCCCCCCCCCCCTCCAACTTAAACACATACTGTGTTCTAAGTATTAATTACATAGCTAACGTCTTACTGTTACTTTCACTACTTCTTCTCATTGGCGATTTTGTCTCTATTATGAATGCTTAAGTATCTTATGTGTGGTACTATCCTTGATGTGTAGTATAACTTTGTAGCAGTTGATGTCTTACCACTACCGCAAATACAATCAATATCAATACAATCCTAACTTAAACATATAACACAGAATATTAATTATTTAACGACACTGAGTAAACGATGTATTGAAATAAATTTCGATAAACAACAAAATAATAAGATGATAACTGAAAAACAAATAGCGATATAAAAAAATGAAAACAGGCTTGGCAATGTATGATAGAGCTGACCATACATATAAGACAAACATCGGATCAAAATACATCCGCAATTAGCATAAGTACAATAGATTCCTTTTCTCCCTGAAGTTGGCTCCGAGGGAGGATAATCCGGACACATACGTATGGTTAATAAACAAAGATAGGTTATCGTTCGTTGGGTCGGTCACTCACCCCTTCCAAGGGGAGAATAAAATTGACAGTTACATTTTATTTGTCTCCCCTGGGCAGGACATTTACTGTACAAGTACCGGCGGATTTAGTGTGTAGCTGGGGGCGCTCAGGGCTTACAGATGAGCTAAAAGAGTGTGTACACAAGACAAGCATTCACTTGGGCCGTCTTATGAGAGAAAAGTAGAATAGATACAATAGACAAGCATTCACTTGGGCCGTCTTATGAGAGAAAAGTAGAATTGATACAATAGACAAGCATTCACTTGGGCCGTCTTATGAGAGAAAAGTAGAATTGATACAATAGACAAGCATTCACTTGGGCCGTCTTATGAGAGAAAAGTAGAATTGATACAATAGACAAGCATTCACTTGGGCCGTCTTATGAGAGAAAAGTAGAATTGATACAATAGACAAGCATTCACTTGGGCCGTCTTATGAGAGAAAAGTAGAATTGATACAAGCATTCACTTGGGCCGTCTTATGAGAGAAAAGTAGAATTGATACAATAGACAAGCATTCACTTGGGCCGTCTTATGAGAGAAGTAGAATTGATACAATAGACAAGCATTCACTTGGGCCGTCTTATGGGAGAAAAGTAGAATTGATACAATAGACAAGCATTCACTTGGGCCGTCTTATGAGAGAAAAGTAGAATTGATACAATAGACAAGCATTCACTTGGGCCGTCTTATGAGAGAAAAGTAGAATTGATACAATAGACAAGCATTCACTTGGGCCGTCTTATGAGAGAAAAGTAGAATTGATACAAGCATTCACTTGGGCCGTCTTATGAGAGAAAAGTAGAATTGATACAATAGACAAGCATTCACTTGGGCCGTCTTATGAGAGAAAAGTAGAATTGATACAATAGACAAGCATTCACTTGGGCCGTCTTATGAGAGAAAAGTAGAATTGATACAATAGACAAGCATTCACTTGGGCCGTCTTATGAGAGAAAAGTGGAATTGATACAAGCATTCACTTGGGCCGTCTTATGAGAGAAAAGTAGAATTGATACAATAGACAAGCATTCACTTGGGCCGTCTTATGAGAGAAGTAGAATTGATACAATAGACAAGCATTCACTTGGGCCGTCTTATGGGAGAAAAGTAGAATTGATACAATAGACAAGCATTCACTTGGGCCGTCTTATGAGAGAAAAGTAGAATTGATACAATAGACAAGCATTCACTTGGGCCGTCTTATGGGAGAAAAGTAGAATTGATACAATAGACAAGCATTCACTTGGGCCGTCTTATGGGAGAAAAGTAGAATTGATACAATAGACAAGCATTCACTTGGGCCGTCTTATGGGAGAAAAGTAGAATTGATACAATAGACAAACATTCACTTGGGCCGTCTTATGGGAGAAAAGTAGAATTGATACAATAGACAAGCATTCACTTGGGCCGTCTTATGAGAGAAAAGTAGAATTGATAAAATCGACAAGCATTCACTTGGGCCGTCTTATGAGAGAAAAGTAGAATTGATACAATAGACAAGCATTCACTTGGGCCGTCTTATGAGAGAAAAGTAGAATTGATACGTCTGTAGAATGCTTCAGTAGGTTTTTACTTGTCTACACAGCCCTTACGCTATCACGAAATAGAATAAAACGTTAAATACAATGAAATAAATATAAAGTAATTATACGTAAATAATATTTGTGTTGTCACAGGTACAAGTGCCTTACATGTAAGATCTTGAAATTAGTAAACACAAAGTGTTTTTTTTTAAAAATAGATCTAGTATGTGCAGAAGAAGTTGAAAGTTGTGGAAAGTAAAACATAATGTTTTTAATACGTTAATCGTAAACACAATTTTGTTATGAATATTCTAAGAATAAAGTTTTAAATAATTTCTTAATTGTAATGTTAGAATAGATTTCCTCCATCAAAATTAAGATTTGTAAGCGAGTTTTGCGCCGTATAATACGTTGACTCAGATTCCAGCCTGCTCCTCTTTAAGATGTGCTTCTAAAGCCTTCGTCCATCCAAGAAGAACAATAAGCTTGTAGTTTTCTCTTATAAGCCTAGGGTTCGAACTCGAGACATTTTGGTTCAGCAACCATGAGCGTTACCGACACGATTGATTGTTTCTTATGATACTCACTGCTAAATAGGGGAAAAAAATCATTTTAAAGCTAAAATGAATTGAAACTAAAAATATATAAATAAAATCTAACTCATAAGTGAATTAACGGCTTAAAGAAAGAGCAAAGAATATTTTTTTTTAAATCAGTCTGACTTCCCTCCCTCTAGCCCCCTTCTCCTCCCTATCCCATCTCCTCACCTCTTCACCCACACCCCGCACCCTCAGACGGTTGCTGCTAAGACAAGTCTGTGACAGGTGACCCGCCTAGCGGAGACGTGATGATGTCTTTCGGTTTTTCTCCACGCGCTTCGTGTCTTTTCAAGGGAGTTGACTCAAGATGTTATGGGGAGATAACCATTTAAGTTAGATGTTTCGCCGTTTTAAGAAACAAAATTATAATAATATTTTAAAAATTGCCCCTAATTACTTTATATTTTTTATATACGTTTAA